GCTAAAGCTAGCTTCCCACCCTGCTGTTGCTCAGCAAAGTCAGTAAAATGTAAGTCTGTCTGGAAAAAGAAAGCATAAATATCAGTAGTGGATAGCAGTAGTAGAGAGATAGTAGTACCTCATCAGTAGAATATTAACTTATGCTCCTGATGAAAATGGAATGATATCACCACATTTGGACCATACTTTTTGCTGTCTACCTTTGCCATGAGAATGAAAACTGAGTATAATATCAGAGACAAAGATGAAGCTCTGCTTAAATAATTTCTGTATATATTTTTCAGCATTATAATTGATCATATTTTTACAATGTCTACTTTTTTTTTTTCTGATATAACTTTTTAATTGAGATGTTATTTTTTCTGCTTTGAGAGTACCTTCCAGGTGTGTACAAGAATAACTACAGTCTGCTCAGAAAACTGCAGGCATAATTCATGTGATTCATCTTCTATCCTACATTTGTGAACAAGTCTTATCTGCCATTGAACTGCTCAATTGCATAGATTTCGAGGTCCTTCTGGGTTTTTTCAGTGTTCTTTAGGCTTGATTAACCAAAGTAATTTTCACCATCCTTTTGTACTTTGTTCCTAGATCATTAATGTATTTAATACCAACTCTAAGAGAGATCCTTTGAGCATGTGCTGTAGACTTTTTATATTTCGAAAATTGAAGAGTTAGTACCATGTCCTACTTTTTCTTTCCCAAGTGCTTGCTAATCCACTGCAGCTTTTCCCCTCTCCACTCCACTAGTTTTCTTAATAGCCCTTTATGACAGACCATTGTAAAGAACTATTTGAAAGGACAGATAAATTATATACTCTGTTTCTCCCTTGCCAACCACTTTGTTCACATGTTCAAATAATTCCATGGGATTGAAAGGCATCATTTTTCCTTACCTTATATTTGTCCCTATCTTCAAAGCTTCAAGATAAGGTATTATATATATATATATTTTTTTTTTTTTACATGGAGGATATTTTAAAGAGAAATGGTATTCCTGTTAGTAGTTGTGACACTTGAAACAGCAGTTGGAGTCCTTCTGAAAATGCAGGCGTTGCTGTCTGATCCTAGGAATGAATATTGCCTATCAAAAAATCATACTCTTCTCCAAACAGCCAGTCTGCTCTCAGAACATGACCCTGGGGTCTGGCAGATTCCTACTGCAGGAAATTAGGGTTATAAACTCTACACAGACTAAACTTGGCTTCTGTCAAATGGTGCAATGGGAAAATGAGACTTTTCTTCCCACGCCTACACAGAGCCAGCTGACTTGGATCTAGAGAGAACCTGAGATGGATAAGAACTGAAATGCTTAGGAGGAAAAAGATCATCTTTAGATTTGAAAATGCAGTTGTTAGAGGGTCTTGATCCTGCAGCTAGTGCATTGCTATTTTACAAAGATCACTTTTTGCAGAGTAAGGAGGAATAGCAATTTTATATAATCATGTGTTCTTTGAAAATGCCTTTTTATTTTAAGAAGCCGACTGTTTCTGTTACCCTTACTAAAACTAGGCCAGTTTCAGTAGAATTTAACTGACTGTAATGGATCAAGTCTTATCCTTGGTACTTCAGGGCTCTGAGACAGAAGAATGTCTGAGGGGTTGTTTTACATAAGGTGTTGATGCCAAAGAAAATGTTTTATTGTTAGCCCTTCAGCAAAGGTCATACAACAAAACTTAAATATGGTGATCACTTGAATATAATGATTGAATCTCAGTCGTAAACCGACCTGGAGTGCAAGATCTCAGCAGGTGCTCCTCCAATGTAGATATCTGTGAATGGCATTGCTGTTCTTTCATTGTCCACACTTTTTATATGTCTCCTGTCTACTACCAAGATCATCTTCTTAGAATTGTGATAGATAATAGAAATCTGAAAAGAAAAGCGTGTGTTTAAAAATGTCATCTTTTGTAAGTCATCATGGTGATCTTGCAAAATGGATTGGATCTTTGTATCTTTTTGTTTGAAAAACTCCTCCGATTTATCAAAGAAATTGTTTGTAAATTGGGAGATGTTGGCAAAGATTACTACTAGGAAGCTTATTTTGATTGATCACAATTTCTCTGATGACTGAATCCTCAGGATATTTCACTTATGGATAAATCCACATGAAAGTACTCCTGTCAAATTCTGAACTGCGGCAAACAGATAAGCTCCATTAACCGCAGAATGCTTTCTTGATTTATCCAAGAAGTTAGGGCATACTTCTTAAAAAACTTATTTTGTTGTGAAAGCATAAAAGGCATAATTGTGCTGTACTTTAATATAAATAGAATTATAGTTGGGGGTCAGGAATCAAGGTGAGTTTACATCAAAGAAATGGCAGGAGAAGCAAGTCACTAAGGGAGATTTGCACAGTCACAGTTACACTGGCTTAAACCAAATTCCTGGAAACCAAATACGAGTAAATATTTTACATCTGCCAAAGTCCATAAAATACTGTGCATATATAAAAGGATGCTACGAAATCAACTATCTTTTCAAATGAAATGGGAAATGCTATATTTTTTATACTACAATGCATAGCAACTAAGGTGGTGTCCTAGTTAGAACAGCTGGGACCAGTTCATCACTGTATGGGTGTAACCCAAAACTGTGTATTCTATAGCCTTCCATGCTGTTTCCCAGAAACTGTTATCAATAGACCATTTACACCATCTGCCCATAGAGCCTGATTCCTCAGGCTATAAACTGGGTGTTAAGAGGCCTGCGAGACAGGAGGATGCTCCTGTCCTCACACCCTTTGTGGAACTCTCCGCCCTGAGGGAGGTACTGGGTATTCCTGCCTGAACCTGAGGATATATATAATCTTGGAGTCTTGGGACTTTTTTAAACACTCGTGGGAAACAGAGAAGGACTGAACCACCACTCTCAACCAGACTGCAACCACCACTCTTGACCGGACTGCAATCACCACTATTGACCAGACTGCAACAGCACTCTCACCAACAGGTTTTTTTCCCTCTCCTTTTACTTTGGACTCAGGGGGCCCAACGAACACCACTCTGTTCATGCCCCAGGGTGCTGGGTTATACATTTGGGTTTTGTGAGTTAAACCAATTGTTTGTCTGTATAATCGTATTTATTGTATTATTTTATTAAATTGGTATTCTGACTTATAATCACTCTTTTGAGTTGGGTTCATTTCCCCTGCCGGTTTACCTTTAAACCAGCACAGGTGGTCAAGTTAACATAATGACATGATTTTAGTTGAGGAGAGTTGTATATTTGAAATATAGAGCTGTCTTTGATATAATTTAATTTTGACTTAATAACACGTTTTCTCCCATGTGAACTGTCCTGTCCTTGGCCAATAATACACAGAATCTGTCTAAAAGCATCGATTTATGAGGAGAAAGGGAGAGTCTTCCCTTTCCACTGCTCAGTAGTGGTGGGACTTGCATGCACACTACTCTTCTACCTGTTCTACTATATCACCACCTGGACCCTCATCATGGGTGTTGGAGCAATTATTGCTGCTTTGAAGTTTCTGGGATAGCTGGTCAAATGGTTATGATAGTAACCACATATCTACCTCATGAAATTTAGCATCATTAATCTGAGCCTTCTTCATGGAATCCTCGAGAAGCACAGGACCATTGCTGAAGCCAAAGTCATAGAGAAGGTACAAGAAACCATTGTGCATCTCTAGGCTGAAGAACATGCTCTGTATAAAACAAGACAGCAGTCAGAAAAGCAGTATGTGGCAGCAACAAAAAAAAAATAATTAATAAACAGTGTTATAAGAGTGACATTGTGAAAAGCATGATGGGAAAATATATTTTTATTCACAAAACTATAACACAGTTATATTTTTATATTTATAATATATGTGTATATATGTACATGCACACGTAATTGTTTTATAAATGACACTATTTGGAGACTTGGTGAACTGTTTCCCTATAGAAATAATATTTAGTAGCACAGTAACGGCAGTATTCTTTACCAGCAAAGTATTCCTAATGCAAACACAACTATTTACTGTTGAAGAAATACCACATGCCCTAAATGAAAGATGTTATACTGGTAAAAGCAATGTTGTGCTAGAATGGCTGTGTCTGCATTAGCAGCTTCTGTCACAATGTCTGTAATGACTCAGGTTTTTTTTGTCTTTTCAAAGACCTAATCAACACTGATATATTTACTGAAGGTTGAGCAATAGCTAGAGTCTATTTACTATGTATTTGGTTTTTGGAATTCCCGTCAGTTCCTGCTTTAGCTTCTATTCTGTGGCTGGATGACCTAGATTTTATAAGCAGGAACTATACTTTAGAAAGTCTTTAAGGAGTGCTTGAAATGAAGATCTGTACCGTGGAATTAGCCTTGTTCCAAAACTGAACATAAAGAAACAGAAAGGGCAGTTTACAGCATAAGTGCATCTGTGTAATGTTTTTAATGATAATGCCTGTCTTCTCTCCTAGTGTTCATACTGTTGTTTCCATGCCTAATGGAAACATGGGAACAATAATTCTCAAAACTCTACTGGAGGCCAAGAACTGCTGTATTTGACATAGATGAGTCCACTTTCAGAAGTCATTATTTAAAGAAGTAAGAGTAGGTTTTAATCTAGTACTTTTAAATGAAACTGCAGCGTGGCTTTTTTCTGAACAGCTTAAACTTGAAAATGAAACAGGGATTACATTCAGAATATTTATGAGCTGTCTTTGCAGAACTGAATAATGGACTGGCTTACACAGACTTTCTAAAAGTGCTTGTGAGAGGACATGGTCTCCCACAGCTGGCATCCAACTTGACTGCAGCTTCCACTGTCAAACACAAAGTGCATATGTCTCCAAAAACCTCTAGGTGCTTTTGCTTGGAAGAAAAATAGCTGGCCTGCAATAGAGGCTGTTAAAATTTTAACAGCAGCTGCTTAGTCAAAGCCTCCTAAGAATGAAGGTTAGTGGTAGCATGAGTAAATTGCAGCAGAGTAAATTGCTTCCCACAACTCTCCTCTGGAAGTTACTCTAAAGACAAACATTAGAGGGTTCTTCTAATGAGAGTGGATTTTTTTCCCTTCTAAATGCTTAATGCAGTGTTACATGTAGGTGTCTAGACAAGTGTCTGTCTGGAGACTGCATCTGTGAAAGAAAAATGTTTTCTGTGGCTTTCCCAGGTTGTAATCCACACAGGACTTGGGAGCTTGATGTGGAGATGTCCAAAGACAAAAAAATCCAATGTCTTCAGAGGATATTTTCATGTGGAGTCTACTTTCTTCAAACTCTTACAGAGATTGCATCACCCTCAAAGTTCAGAAAAGCTGCTGACATTTGGATCAAGCATTTTTATTTGGAGTGCTTTCTATTTTCAGTAACTTAAATATTTAACTCTAGTACACCCTGAGGCACAGTTATAAAGTGGCAGCTACCACAAAGTGTCTGCTTTTTGGGAGTTACTTCATAGAAATTTCATATCGCTTTGATTGTGCATGCACAGTTAAGTAAAGGTACAACTACTGGGCTTAACTGGAGTCTCTCTCGAAGTATCATCACAAGGATATGACCAGTTTGAAGTCCTGACTATCTCTGGATGAAAGCAGAGTTCAACTCAGGGCCTCATCTTTCTGAGACCTTTTCAGAGCAAGTTCCAGTTCCCTCCTAACATATACATGCACCAGACGAATACAAAATATTTCCTCTTTTCAGAAGTTAAGTGTAAGGACATAAGCAATTTGGATTGGGGAACTTATGATGCTCATGGATAAAGGGTACCAGCAGGATTTGGTACTCACCCCATTAATCATCAGCAGGATCAATCCGTTGTCCGTAGGTGTTCGAACTTCTATGTCAAATCGAGTTACCTGGCTGAATCTTCCCCTTCTCTCAATGTTTCTTGCCAAGGCATAGCCAGAGCCATCAAAGAAATAGCTCACAGCCCGGCTCTGAGTGAAAGCCAACTTATCTCTATAAAAGAACGAGATGGGAAGGATCAGTTGGTATGCACCCATTTTAATTTGGGGAAACTTAAAGACCTTTACATACTTTATTGAAATAATTGTTCTGAACTTCTGCTTCTTCCTGGCAATGGTGAGACTGATGACTTTCTTTCAAATTTTTTTCTATGAATTCTTTTCTGAAAAATAGTGTGTAGCTTCGGAGGTGTATCTAACTCCTTCATCATGCTTTAATCCTGTGCTGTATGTAGAGGACAGGAAAATTCTTTGCTCATCCTTGTAAAGTGACAGGCCCACAGCACCTCCTCATTATAAGGATATACATATATTTCTATTAAGAGCTTGCCCAGTTTGTGCAGAAATCCATTTGAATTCTCTGAGGCCTTTAGCTGATCATGGACTCTCCTGGGGAGCCCAGGAGTAGCAGCTTGCATGCACTGTCGTGGAGAGCAGCAGCTTGCGCTCCCTGTGGGAATGGTGTGGAAAGCCACCATTTGTGCTATCCTAGCACTTCCTGCATTTTTTCCCACTGCATGAGGCAAATTTCTCTCCTTCCTCTAGAGAGGTTCTACTGTTGCTGCCTGTTGTGTAAGAAAATGCCTGCCTTGTCTGTGCTAAATGACTGCTACAGTTGACGTTCACTTCTACTTTAGGAGCTGCATTTCCCAGTTTGTGAAAGGCTTATCTAAGGAATTTCTGTTGTGGATTTAAGAGTGTATGGCAGAAAGATAACTTCAGTACAGGCTTTGCTACCTGGGGGTGGGACTGCACTCGAGGTTACCAGACCCAGGAGAGCTGACTGGCTGTGGCTGTATCACTTGCAGCAACATAATTTGAGTAAGGATCCTCCCTGTCCTAGACAAGCAGTCGGGTTAGGAGCGACATGGGACATGCTTCAGCTAACATGACAGTTCCCTTTTGGAAGGCATGATCAAGATTGTGAGATAGTTAGTGGAGACTACAGAAAATTATAAAGTATCTCAAGTTAAAAGGGACCCATGAGGATCATAGAGTCCAACATGTATACATACACATACATACATATATACATATAAAAATTAAACTTGATGCAATCAGGAGCTTAAAGTGACCAAGTTCCTTCTGAACAACTCAGTGTCACCTTCACGTTTGTAAAATAAAATCAGGACTGGTACTTGAAACAAACCAGAGTAGCAGAGCGAGGACTGGAGTGTCCCCTACCTGGCACATGGTGGCGATGTGGTGGTGTCGATGTTATAGACGTGCTTGAAGTTGTACAGGCTGATCACATCATTGTTTAGGGTAGCCAGTTCCAGACAGCCAATGAAGCCAGGTAGGTTCAGGCTAGAAGGGAGCTGTGCAGAGGACAAGGAAGAGTAAAAGGGGAAAGGTCACTCTCTAGTTAGGTATTGGGAGATCATTTGTGCCTGGGATCAGTTTTATCCCTATGCAATTTGTATTTTGAAAAAAATGGGGTGATACTACTGTGAATAGTTTTCACAGACCTTATCATGATATGGTCTATGGGCTGTAAGTTAAAAGGGAGCACATAAATGGTCTCACAGTGAGAAAATTAGGCCAGGAAAGGCAAATGCAAACAAAAGCTTCCTTTGTAGTTTTGAGTGGAGCACAATCGGAAAAGGGGGAAAGGGTTAAGATTTGACTAATAACCGATCTTACTCAATGTATTTGAATCTCTCAGTAGATAATTCATATCTAATGTATAGACATTGTTCACCCCAGAAAAATAACTTCTTACCATGATGAAAAGGGAGAGAAATGAGAGAGCTCTTTAAACCCAGGAGACTGGGATTCAAAGTCTGTACCAGTGGGTAATCCTCAGTAGGTATTATTTTGAAGAGTAAGTAGGATGTAGAAACTTTTTCTTTTAATAAAGGTCACTGCAAATGGAATTTAAATAGCCACACTGGTGAGGGGAAAATTCCAAAGAATAAAGCTGACAGAGCTAGTGAATCATTCTTTTTATATTAAAATATTCTGCCCTGTGGAACAGGTGTGATATTAATAACAGCTCTTGTACTTCAGAGTTTGATCACTGTAAGTTCATCTTCTCATTATTTCCATTTTGCTTATGATATAATAGCAATGGTAATACAGCAATGCAGAATATATGTAGCTGTAAAAGAAAATCAGATTCTTATCTGTGGCACAGATACATTTGGTAAATGATCATGGTTTCCCCCCCCCCTGTTTCGTCTACTATTCTGTTTAATTATGTTAAGGCTGAAACTTCCAATGGTTAGAAGTAGGTGGTACATTTCGTATTTGCAAAGTATGTAACTGGGAAGCAAAGGCAAAAGCTTTTAGCAAATAAGACCGTATGCTAATAAATGAAAATGTGAGTTGCCGTTTTCTAAGGGGAAAGAGGCCCATATGCTTATTAAATAATACCATGAATAATTTTGTTCCCATTTTCTTTCACTTTTCTCTTTTGTTTTTCCTCTGCCCTGCTCTGGAACACACCTGGAGGGTTCATTTACTGGATGACTTTTTTGTGTGTGTATGTGTTCTATTCCCAGGCAATTTGCACCCAAGGCTCAGTAATCTAGAATTTGGATCATGGCATCTATCTGGTAGTCATAACAGTGCAAAGCTCAGGAATACGTAAGTGTATTGAATTAATCTTTCTTTGTTTTTATACTGTTAGAAGAGCTGCTTGTGGATCAGTATTTGGATCTTTGTAGCACCTGCTACAGCTAGCCTAAAGAATTTAGCATTCTCTAAAGCCTTTCTAGTTATGATTTTATTCAGCCATGCAATTTTCGTAGCTAAGATAGTTCATAGCAATTTTTAAACACAAAAAGAGGAACTGGTATGCTCATGGAAGCAGGTAAGTGAGGTGCTAATTCATGCCGACTATTACGCAGTAGACTCAAGTGTCTGACACAAGTCTTCAGACATATTTTGCACAGGGAACTTTTCATGCTGTTATAAGGCTGGATTTAAACCAACGATAATTTAAATTCAAACAAATTACTATATTGCTAGTTTCCCACGTTGTCCTGATATTAACAATATATTACTTTTCATGTTTGTGACAGTTGTAAAAGAGAAAGTCTAAGTACCAAGAACTCATTAACATTGAAAAAAACTGTTAGCCTGCAAGATTTGTTAAGCTGGACTAATAGACCTCATTTATGCATGTTAGTAAACAATTAGCAAGCCTTTCTTTGGTTAAATTTCTGAAAACTTGAACACCGGCTATCATCAATATGATCATCTTACTGTATGACATAATATGCAAGAGAAAACTGTTTTTGCCATGGCTAAAAGATGAAGTCCTATGATAATAAATGACTAAATAAGGAAATTTTCTTTATTTACCATTTCTATGTCTAAAGGGAAGTCCAGCAAGATAAGTTTGCACTATTTAGTTTTGAATACAGAATCTGACCAACCTTGAAGCCTGGAGGCACTCCACCGACATAGAAAACAGCATTTTCAGGTTCCAAATTAAGGAGAGAGCCAGGACCAAGAACCTCTCCCTTTTTGATGAATTTTTCTTCATCTGTGCTGCTAAGACTGGGCACAGTTAAAAACATTTTGCCATGTCTTCCAATCCTGTAGAAAGGAATTGTAAGAGAAGAGAGTTTCATGTTGGCTGGACTTAAAAAAGAACAAGAAAGCCTTCAGCCAGGAAGGGTTTTTATTTCCTTACTAGAAGACTAGTAATCTGGGGGAAGAGAAAGGGAGAAACTGCAGACACTTTCTCTTCCTCCATGTGGCCCCTTGGATCCTGGTTCTCCAAAAGCAGAGGGAATTTCCATCTATTTCAGAAGGAGTAGAACCAGGCACTGAAGATTCCTGTTGGGCAGTTCTGACACAGCCTTTTCTGCTTGATTTTATTTTCCTACTGTTTGATTTGGGGAAAATGCACATAATCATTTTACCTCTCAATTTTGATGATGCTGAAGTAAGAAGGCCAGGTGCTGACTGGCTTGGCATCCAGAGGTATCTCCACGTCTTGGCCCCCCAGATTATAAATGTACACAAGGTTGTCATTTTTAATTGCAAGACCAATGTAATGTTTTGCCTAAAAAACAATGGAGAAGGATGTCAGAGATACAACATCAAAAGAGATTTAATGCAGAACATTAGTAAAGGGAGGGCTTTGATAAACTAAATGACACCTTTTAATATTACTATTAAAAGCTATTTAAATATAAACAAAAGCTTCATTCTCTAATTGGTTGCTTTCAGCAGATAAAACTGTATAGAAAAATCTCTTGATGTTTTACTTTATATCAATTTTCACTGCCTTAAATACAAGGTCAGTGAGATGTCTGCTGACCATGAATTAGTCATGTTCAATGGGAAGCTATTCATCAGTATTTGGTGTGCAGTGTCATGCAGGAAATAGTCTAAAGCCTAGGTATTATGCTGCAATTAAATATTCTGTCAAAAGCGGTTTCACTCGATTTATATTCCGTAGTCATTCCTTGTAGAAAAGCTTAAAAATAAAAGACTGTCTCTTTACCCTTCCGAGGTAACAAATTGCCAGGATTATACCTGGCTTGTGAGGCGTGATTTTTTTCTTTTAGGAACCATAATTTAAAGAACAGCTATTTCAAAGCAGTGATCTACAGAGTATACAACAGCAGCACAAGCCACAGATAAAGAAAACTGCTTATCTTGTGGGCCTCTGACCTCAGAGATTTGGAATTGACACTGTCAGCAACATAAACTGATTAAATTGTATCTCACAAAAGCCAGGTGGGTGACATTAACTGCTTCAGAGCACCCTGGTACTAGCAGTGGAGATAGCAAGTATGGCTTGCATCAGTGTCAATCAAAGCAGTACACTCAATAGGCAGTCTAATTTCCTTTTAAGAGAGAATCCTTCATTGTTTGACGTGAGAAGTCTCAAGGACAGGAGTCTCAGGAACCCTTGCTCTTTGCTTGTCACAAAATCAATGACAGTCATATAGTAGACACCTCTTATTTCGAAACATGAAGAAACAGTGAAAGGAAAAACCAGGGGCAAACAAAATCCAAACCTATTTCAATTTTCATTTTTTTTGTTAAAAATATATGTAAAAAAAAAAACAACTGAATTGTTCTCTTACATTTTTGTTTCCAAGGTACAAAATGAATCTATCTGGAGATGCTGCCAGTTGTGGATTGTCTTTCTGAAGCTTTATGTACAAGCTCATGGAAGTGAAAGATTTCAGTTCCTCCACGTTGATCTTTGGATTGACTTCAACAGATGATTGGCCTCCAAACATCATGGAAACTTGGACCTGCAGTTGCAAGTGTGCTGCGTGAGACAGATTATTGCTGCCTGGGGTAATTACTTAAGGTAAACATGCAAGAATAATTAGGCAAGTACTGGCTTAGTGTGAGAGTAGAGTTGGCACCTATTTGTTAGCCATGTAAAATTGCATGTTTATAACAATCCTTTCTGGAAGACACTGTAAAGAACATGAAAGAAATTAATTCATGTAGTAAATCATATATCAGTGGGAGACATATAGTCTTAGTTGAATCAGGGCACATAACGAAATCCTTACATAGCTATAAAACTTCTACTAATAACTTATTTCTTTGCTTTGCAAGGACCATGACCAATTTTCTGTTCATGAGTAATCCTGTTATATTACTGATTCTACAGTGATATTTATGAGATGCTAATAAAATTGTAAAACCTTTTCATTTTAGTTCAAAATGCCTTCAACATGACTGAAGTAATGCTTTCAAATTGAAGCACAATATGCCTGAATGGCAAAATACGTTTAAAGACCAGTCAAGCACTGCACACATACTGATTTTTCCTTTTCTTTTTAAGTAATATATGTGGACTGCATATTCCAGCATTTTGAACATACAATAATGACCTGAATTTTTTATTTCTCTGAATGAATTCAAATACACTTTTAATTTTTGACATTGGTATTCTTGTTACAGAAAAAAACTTCATTATTTATGAAATGAAAATGTTTTTTCTCTATTAAATATATGCAAGCCAAAGGTTCTCTTACCCTGCAGAAAATTAATTAAAAAGAAATACTGTTATCTCAGAAAAGTTTACATTAAATTGCCATAATTACTATTCCTGAAAACTAATACTGCCAGTTGAGTAATGATCTATTAGTTTTAGCTTTGAATGGTTTTGTTGTTGAGGCCATCTTATACACTGTGCCAATAACTTTATTAAAGTTCCTAGTGCAGTAACAATAGTCTACCCCAACTGCCATGATAATGTTGACTGCTTGAAAAATAGCAACTGTAAAGATTTTACTGACCTCCACGGTGCTTTGTTTCTCTAGTTTGGGGGTGGTGATAATGTCCGGGTTTGGACTTCTAATAAAGCCCAAGGAAATGGAGGTTATAGTAAGATACATTTGATTATTAACACTAGTATCCAGAAGTCCCATCCAAAAGTTTTACCTTGCTTGCTACACTCCTGGTTTGTGCGATTAACTCTCTGATCCGCTGTATGCTGGAAGAAATATTGTTTGCTGGTGCCTTCTGTTCTACTCTGCGCAGTTTGTCCAGGAGTTCAGGAAAAACTTCTGTAAGTTTCTTCACTGTAGTTAGAAAAAAGTGACAATGTGGTTTTTTCCTCTTTGAAACACTGATTTTGCACCAGGAAAATTTCTTATTATCCTCTTAGATTAACTTACCTGTCTCCTTCTGCTTTAAGAACAAGTCCACACAGTAGTGTATGAGAGACAGTGATTTTAGAAAGAGTAGTGAATTATAAGAATCTAGTATTGCAAAAAGTTTGCACAAAGGAGACTATGTTTTAAGGGGACTCCTAGGTAATACTGTGGTGAGTTACCTCTGTAATACTTTCCTCAAGGAGCTCTGCAAATGTTAATAATTTTAACCTTTTCATCTTCCTTCAAGGCAAATACATGTTAAACCCAATTTTACAGATATGGCAACTAGAGCAGAAGGATTATTTGTTCAGGATCTCACTGGTTATCTGTGGCTGACCTGGGAAGTGCATCTAGGAGTTATGGTTCAAGAGCTCTTCAAATTCATTGTAGGGGAGATGTATAGATTGTTTTCCTCAGCTTTCGTCTGTGCATCTCTCTGAAAGGTCATACCCAGATAACAGCAATGGCTGCACAGGTGTCTGCATGTGGTTCGCAGCCCACTCTCATAATAGGAACACTGCCACTTTCAGACTGTGGTAACAGGCCTGTAGTGTACAAAAATAGAAGGCCTTAGCTGATAATGTGTGTGCACCTAAACTGTACTTACTGCCTGCCCCAGCCCTTGTGATTGGTAACCTCTTCGGCTTTCCTGCCTACATCTGCCAGAGGTCATGAATGAGAGTCCAGGACCTTTGGTCTTTTGCTGCTGTATCTTCTGGTGGTACGTGTACAAGTGTCATTGTTATCATTGGGAAATACAGGGGCTTTGTTGTGTTCAAAGGGACATAAGTCCTTTTCCAAAAAGATAAGCAGAACAAATTTTCAAGAAAGAAAAATAAGTACCCTTAGTTATAATCCAATTTCATCACATCACATTCCAATGACATGTTGCCCTTTGAAGGATATTTACACATCACATCAGTTTTCATCTTTAATTAAATATTGGTACAAGTAGCTGAGTATAATGAAATGCGATTTTAGCTGCAAGCGATGTGCATGTAAGAAAGATCCAGCATTCAGAGTTAATTTTTAATGACATGGATTGCCTATAAAGGTTAAACCAGATTTGTAGGGTTTGCAGTTACATTTTAGGGGTTGTCAACTTGCGTCCACCTGCTCTTGTGTTCTTCCCTGCATATTGTTACTCTTGTCTGATAATCACAGAATCATAGAATGGCTTGGGTTGGAAGGAAACTTAAAGATCATCTAGTTCCAACCCCGCTGCTGTGGGCAGGGACACCTTCCACTAGACCAGGTTGCTCAGAGCCCCATCCAGTCTGTCCTTGAACGTTGCCAGGAGAAGATAGCAGAGAAGGCAAGTAGAGGGGTTAATCATCAGATATACTGAGACTGTATAAAAGGTAAGAAAGGAGAAGTAGACTCCCATCACTTTTCTATTCTTCCAGTCTGTACTGGCTAAAGACTGAAGCAGCTCTCAGCTTCATTCAGATCAACACAGAATATGAGAATATCCCATGGAATCCTACAGGTCTGCTTCTCTTTGGACAGACTGAAAAGCTATATTTGCCTCAGTCCCGTTCTCTCTCTGCTTGGCTGTTTTCACTTGTCTTTTACTTTCCAAGTTCAGTGTAGGAGTGGGCCATACAGAGTTTTAGTTAATTCAGTTATTCCCATTAAGTCCTGAAAGTCCCTTAAGTTCTGGGGTCAGTAATCAGATATTCTATATAACGTCTACTGCATATTAAAAAGCCATTATTTTTAGCAAATTCTCGAAGTAACACAGTAATTCCTGAATGCATTAAAATTAAAAGACCAAACCCAAATGGTATGATAATCAACTTATAAAAAGTTTTCTCTACCTTTTGAAATGAATGTTCCATTGGATTGGAAAAAAGCCCACATTATTTTTATAGGTAAAAAAATTAAAAGCTCAGAAAGGGATTTAGCAAATTTCAACCACTTTTTTTTTTTTTTTTAAATAATCCACAACTGAATTGGAATTGTGTTTGATCTGTTATCTTTTAAACCTGGATTTTCATCTGTTTGAAATTTGGTGTACAAAAATTGAAATGCTATTGTAAAATGAAAATGCAAAGCTAATATCTATTACTACTAGAACTGTTATAAAATCTCAGCATAAATATCTTTCTTTGGTCCTTTATAATGGCATTCTTCAACACAGAAGAATATTGATTTTTGATTTTAATAATGGGATGAAGGTAAGAGTGGAAAAGGAAAACTAGTCTGTCTAAGTGATGAAATATAAAAAAAGAATAGAAGGGAAACTGTCAAGGAGGATATACCTTGACTGTAACCTTCCAGACACTTTCTCCTTTCATGTTTTTCTTCCCAATCTGTCCTTCATACTGTCTGCTGAAGCCCACCAGTTCCTGCACAATGGAAACAGGCAGTATTCTCAGATATGCTTCAGCTGCTTATGGTAGGGCTATTGGTATGATGATCAGGTGTTTTAGGGTTTCAGGAACCCATCTGAACATTTGCTGTGACTTTCTTTTGGACTTTGGTGGACATTCCTCCTGTCAGATCAACCTCTCCTGGCAAAATACACAGCTGATCTGGGAACACTCCACTGTGCTTGGCGTGTCTATATCTGTCTTCCCAGGCAGTGAATCACAGTCACATCTGTCTGGAGCACTACCTGTGCCAGCCTTCTATGTAGCACTGATCTCTCTTCTCAGCTATTTCCACCTGATCTTTCTGGCAAAAAAAAAAGTCATGCCGCCTTTGTACCTTAATACAAGCGAAACAAATGCCTTCAGACACAAAAATGCCATGAAAAGCTGCCTCCATGAAAGTACTAGGGCACACTTTGCTGTAGTTTGCATATTAGCATCTCTTCAACAGTGAGTTTGTGGTCAACAGGTCCTCGAGGCACTTTCATGTGAATGCAGTATTTTCAAGGTGACTCCCTGCCTGTAAAACCACAGTCACAGAGAACACATTTTTGCCAGGCACATCACATAGGAGCTGAACTGTTCTTAACAACTGGTGGTGCGTGTACCATTCATGCCTTTTTGAGAACATAACAAACTAGGGGAGCTGGGCCATCTTTACTCTGTTCATTCTTACAGAGCATCTCAAATGCCACTGGAGATATTTCTTCTAGAACAACAGCTAGTACGAGCGGATTTTTTGAATCCTGACTGTCTGCTGGTGTTTTGAGCATGAAGAGCCAAATGTAGTCTGTGTTGCTGCTCTATCTGCTAAGCTGGCACTGGTAAATGTTAAATGTAAATCAAGTGTAAAGGTGAATAAAAACAAAAACCTTCATGTGTAAGCTACAGCAGACTGTTTCTCTTGGATGTTTTTCATACTATTCCCTCCTGGGAGGCCAATCATATCCACATTTACATTATCTTAAATGGGAATTAGAGCCCATAGCCTAAACTCTGCTCTGTGGTGATCAAAAATATTTTACAGCAATGCAACACAATTGCTGTTAAATTAACTATATGCTTATGGAGCTCTGTGCAGTGACTAACAGTGAGCTTATCTATTCCCAAAAAGAGCAGCTCACTGTTTCCTTTAGATGAAAAGCTCAGAGAAATCTGAGATTTTCTCCAGTTCTGGAGACAGAAATTGAGTTATTGAACAGCACTGAATTTCTTCTTGCAGAGGGAACCACTCCTAAACCAGTTCTTGGGAGCACTGGTTTCACTTAATGAAAAATACTAGTATAAGGGTCTTATTCGTTACTGGATTCTGAAAATAACATGACCTTTGGGTTTCCCTGACCTAGAGGGAAGAGTGTGACTTTGGGACACTGGAAGCAACATTGGGTTTGGTACTCATTTGGTACTCAACACCATTTGCAGTAAAATGACAGCTGAGTTGCCAAGTTTCTGATGGACAAGGGACTTAGGGCAGCAGATCTTAGATTCAGACTTTCTGGATATAGAGTCAGTGGAGTTATGGACCTTCTCTAAGACACTTGCAGAAGGCAAGACATCACTGAACAGTGTTGCAGGTGATGGTATCATCAAACGTATGAAGGAAATTATTTTATGGCGAGATTTCCTTGCCATAAATACCTTGGGATTAGTGAGCCTCCTGAGCAGAGCCAGGAATACATTGAGCAATAAATAGTGGTGCTTGTTACCAATTTTTTATTCTGAATATTTTAATTTCTAGATTGATTCTTTTCTTTCGCAATTGTTCTTTTCCTTCTTTCAACAGTCACTTCATTTCAGCTTCACTCTCACTACCTTTTTTCCACTCTTGCCTATCATCTTCATTTCAATTTTGTAGTCTACCCTAGGGTTTTTTTTTTTGTGTTTTTATTTATGTTAAATTTTTCATAAGAAGTTTTCTAATGTTTACTTTTTCTTCTTCCCCAATAATAAAAGTGGAATCAATGTGATGTTTACAAGCTTTTCCAGCAATCACCCTGCTTAAATATTTTATTTCCTCGTTGATCCTCTTTGCCCCCTTTGTTTAGACTACAAGCTCATCGAGTCAGGACCATTTCTCCTCCATGTTTGTACTACTGAGGATGAAAGGGCTCTGTTTTGAAATGCCTAACAATGTTAAAAACCAAAAAACCAAAATTAAATCACCAATCATAATAACAAGAAGCGTTTAAACAAACTGTCTACCCTTCAGTGTTACCTCGGTACCATGATAAAAATGACTTAGAAGCCAATAAGTCTTCATCACATAAGTGTTTTAAGTAATTTTTGGAAATGCATAAATATCCAACACTTTTAAAATATAGTCAAGACTCTAGACAACCACTAATTTTTGAAATGATTTCATGGGGGTAAAATGTTAGAAGATTATATGCAATGAATATGCAATGTAAACAATTCATACAACACGATGTTATGGTGATTCCCTGACTTTTTAACGCTAAGGAATGGCAAAATTCAGGTCACCATACCTGCATCCCCAGCTGAATGCACAGCATTGTCGTATGCCTCTGAATTGTGCTGGAAATCTTGCAGATTTTGAGACCATAACCTCACGTTCTCACCCATGGGGGTCGTAGCCTCTGTTACTGTCATGGTAGCACTTACAGCCTCTGCAGTCTTCTGTTTAGCTTGCTCCAAACGCTCTCTGGCTGACACTACAAATAGGGAGTAAGGAGAAATGAACTCTTTCAAAGGTTCAAGTGTGTTGTTTGTCCTGTCCCGTCCCCCCCCCCCCTCCCGTATGTCCTGTCCCCACCACCAACTCCCCGTGTCCCCCTTCCTTCTTCCTCCCAGTTCATATACTGAGCATGATGTCATATGGTATGAAATACCCCTTTGGTCAGTCAAGGTTAGCTGTTCCAGCTGTGCCTCTTGCTAACTTCCCATGCACCCCTAGTCCCCTCCCAGCGTGGCAGTATGAGAAGAAGAAAAGACCTTGGCTCTGTGTAAGCCCTGGTCAGCAACAGCAAAAACATCTCTATATTATCAACCCTGTGTTCAGCACAAATCCAAAACACGGCCCCGTACTCACCACTTTGAAGAAAGTTAACTCTACCCCAGTTAAAACCAGCACAAGGATCAAGAAGAATGTGCATAATTTCAGGTGGCAAAACATTTATTTCATTATGAATGTGTTAAAGCTGGGTGTTTGCTATCTGGGTCTACTAGTTTCAGTCAAATTCCTTTAGGCATCCCTAGTACTGAAATCTTAATAGTAACTTCATAGGTCATATGGAAAGATAAAAATATGTTCTTGAATGTACGAAGATAAAGCATCATAAAGGTTAAGTTCCAACCTGGGTCTGCTGATTGCATTTTTGCAACGGCTCTCATCAGTTGGTTTCGCAGAACATTCATTCTGGCAAAAGTGCCATTAACCTGCCAGCTGGTGTCTGCAACATTATAATCATTACCTGTGGGGGGAAAATAGGAGGTAAAGTTAAGTGGCATCAAAGTGACATTCAAAAAGGTAAATTTAATTCTGTGGAGGTATGTTATTAGGCATTTAATACACCACAGACCATGGCCTCTTTTAGTACAGGACATACTAGCACTCTCGACTTCATGTAATCTAAAGGAAAAAGCAGCCTTGCAGCTCCCAGCCACTATTTGCTTGCCACAGGGTGTCTTACAAAAATCTGGAGACCTGTATCTCAGTCAGTACTCTCTCTCTTTGCTTTACCAGAAGTGCTGGGAATAGCTGCAACAAGTATACAGGAGAAGTTTTAAGGAACTCAGAAAGTCCCAAAAAATTGAAAAGGTAATTCTGCAATTTTAGAGCTTTCTTTCTTTCACAGTGAACAAAGACCAAAATCCTCTTAGATTTTGGTGAAATTGGTGAAATCCAGTTTGCTGAACACTTATACTGTTGCGATTTGCTTTTAGTTGAACTACTAAACTGAATATATTTACCAGTGAACAACCGTTTGCAGGGTCACATATTTAAACAGTGATGTGCCTTAGTACCTTAGTGATGTGCTTTTAAAATTTACTTTAACATGCATGCCTTTATGCTGACTGGGAAAGTAGAAAGGACGTATATTTACTGTCATATGCTGTCCGTTGTAGCTGCATGGCTCGGATGAGAAGTTCTTCACTTTTACCTTTATGGTAAATGACCTGAGTATCAATTCCAACTGCAGCCTACAAGTATGTTCCAAAAAAGAAAGTCAGAATAATGTTTACCGAATGTTCTGCTTTATCATGTTCAATTATGGACAACATATTACCTGCATATAAATGCAATTGCAAAGTCACTGCAGTTTCGTTACCTTTGTTAACATTTAAGATTGGCAAAAAAGACTGAAAAGCAGAATTTTTTGTTTTAAAAACATTCAGAGAAATGTGTGGTTTTCCAGACAACACTACTGAATAACAAAGGCTCAGAAAGCACAAAAGTCCTCTTAATTTATCAGCTCCAGTTTAGTCAACATGACACTCATGCTGCATGTTAGGCACTGACTACTGTCATCTCAGATAGGTGCTGAATGTTTGCACTGCATGGGGAGCTGCCTTGCAGTCTGCAATAGCATGCTGGAAACAGAGGGCTGGACTTGAAATCCCACAGCCCTCTGGGGTTTAATCTACCGAAGTCCTTTTGCTATCCCACTAATAAATTGTTGGTAAATAGCATGTATACAGATTGGAAACTATATATGTACAAAAAATACTTATAAAGTATTCTAGAACAGTAAGGCCAGAGACAAAATTAGCATCCTTATCCTTACGCTGAGTATATGAGTGGGCTTTGTCCCATTTTAACTTGATTTTCTATGAGAAACAGTGGTGCTTCTGTTAGATATCCTGACCACCTTTCCTGCCACATGGCACTGAGTGAACTAGTAGGACTCAAGCACTAAATGCCAGCTCAGGTTCCCACAAGGCCAGGAAGTTTTCTGGACTTTCACAGAAGTGTCTCAATATGATTCACAACACAGAGCAGCATCACTCTGTGATGGGATAGGGACGGAAGAACCTGTTGGGTCTTTTTGAATATCAGGGAACTAGACTGGCAGAATAATTAACCACATAGGATTTAATTCAGGAAATAATAAAGGGAAAATAGATGTGCAATGAGAAGTTCGATGCTGCCAGTTAAGCTACATCTTGTTTTTAATTTACACTTATGTGTCTGAAGTCCTTGAAGCATTGCAAAGTAAAAGGTGATGTTATGAAAATTACGTACATCTTTAACCCGATTTGTTGTGTTCAGTGCCAGCAATGCAGCTTTATTAGCTTCTTCAATATAACCAGCAATGTTTTCATACACATTTGAAGCATTGATTGCCCTTTGTACCAAACCATTTGAATCAACGCCATACAAATTCCTGTTAAAAAGAGAGTAAAAGAAGAAGCCAAACTGAATCAAAGTAGTTTCAAATTGATCAGTATTCTCAACATTCTGACTACATAATCACACGCATAAATATACTTAGCCTAAGTGGTAGTCTCTTCATTGTGTATGACCAATCTGAAACAGGTGAAAATTATGTGGATAGAAGGTACTTCCCAGTCATTTAACGCTGGGCATTTTGCACTTAACATCTATGTGAGCAGGAACACGTGACCACTGAACTTTTATCTTTTTTTCATCTAAATTAGATATTCCATAAATTTACAGAATAACAGATCTATTGGTAGTCCTTTAGAATAACTTCTGGCCATGAATGGAAAGACCTGTGTGTGTCAGTGACTAGGATAGATGTATCACTTGCATGTTTATATTTTCCAAAAGTAGGTGGGAAAAGAGGGAAGATAGATGAAGAACTACTCGTGGTCATGAAACTTTGCAAGAAGTTAAATTTAAAAAACGCAAGACAACTTTGATGGCATGGTTGAGCTTGATTTGCATATTAGGTGATAACTGGGAGATAAGGAGATATTCCAAACAGCAGCTAGTTCAGGGCTCAACCTTCAGCTATTAGCAATTGTGAATCAATATTATTTTTTAGTGTTTTAGTGATAAGCAGATTTCACAGTATATATGAGATATAGATTTAAATATAAATATACATATTTGTATGTGTGTGCATTCATTTCAAAGTGTTTGTACACTGAGGGATTGCTAAGTTTCCAGATTCAGTGTTGTTGCAAGAATTTTCAGCTATATTCCCCTAAGGCAAAAGAATAAACTCTATCAAATAAAATCTTAACAGGCTAATAAAGCAAACTTATAAAACTGAAATGATTTGAGGTCAGGCAAAATGTTTTAAAGGATTAAAGTTTCACTGCAGGACAATCTTCTTAACAAATAAAAGAGTCAGCACATTTCTGTATGGATATTTTGTAATTACTTTTGTTTGCTTTTTGTGAAATTCCTAATGTGTTTGACTTGGTAGTAGTTTTAAAATTATTTTGGCAAGTGAGGAGGGCTAGCCATATGGGGTATTTTCTTTCACGTGATTCTACTACCCCCAGTTAGCTATCTCAGACTGAGCATATTGTTTGGGTTTTAGGTTGTGTGTAGTTTGTGTGGTATTATAGAACAGTTTCAGATGTCAGCTTTATATAATTGTATAAAAGAAAACCATCTGTTATTTTTTTCTCTATTTTAATCTCCTATATAGGGCATACTAATATTAAGAAACAACTGGTATTAGGATAACATACTTGAATAGTAGTTTTAAGTTTATCTTCCAAAAGCATATGCCCATGATGTTACTTAAAGCAGAATTCAGTGACATATTTTATTTAAGAATTCATTTACAGCAGTGATTTTTCCATGTGTAGTCCCGATTGCAAATAAGGTCATATTTCAAATCTGTCTAGAATAATAGATTTGTACTAGTAGTAAGTTAGTAAATTGATGCAATGTTGATGCATTAAGTATCTTCCAGCAAGATAAAAAGACTTACAGTAATTTTTTATTATTATTGTGGGCCAGTTTCACTGGGACGCAACCTATTGTGAATCAGAACTACTCCATCTGTAAACAAGTTCTTGAACAAAAATTATCTCAAAGCCCATATTGTGTCCTGTAATGCTAAATGGTTTTTTATGTGAATGAACTTACTGACATGAGCTGTTTCTGCCTGTATTGTTTTACTTTTCAGTGATCTACCTTTCCTATTCTTTTGGTATTGGAAGAGAATGTCATGCAAGATATGTGTTTCTTCTTTATTCTTTAAAAAGTTTCATAGATTTTGCTTAGCTCAATTTCAGTTGTTCCCTCTGGACCATGACAAATCCTTCTATACGTGACTTAATACTGTTTTGTGTGGTGCCTATTTATGGTCATGGTGTTTCTCCTTGTCTTTTAGTTCATTCAGCTGTTCAGTAAATAGCACTTGTATGAACAGAGTCTGCTGAAGTTAAATTTTACCCGTCCAGCTCATCAGCAAGTCTTCTTAGGTTTTGTGTATGATGCATAGCCTTTTCTACCAAATCATCATCAAACAGAGACAGATTGGCTATTTTTTCTTGCAATTCCTTTTTCGCTCCATCTATTTCTGCGTAGAACCCTGATGCATTCTGAACAAATTATGGAAGAAAGGAAAGAAGATGAAAACTGTAAAAAATCAAGTCTGTATTTTGATTATTATGTTTTATTTTACCCTTTTGTATTATTATCATGTCCCCTTTTTTTTTCTGTAAAGTTGTTTTATTTTACATTTTTAAGAGCAAAAGAGGAAAGATCTAAAGGTGAATGTCAGTATGGAAAGACAAATGCAGGACGATAAAAATCAACCAGAACTCCAGAAATCCCTTAAGAAGATATTAGAGACATATGCATAAAATACAAAAGAATGGTGAGAAATGTCTCACTTTATGTCTTGTATGTTTTCTCCAGAATTGTGCCAATAACAAGTCTTTCAAAGTGAAGTGTTAAGAGATGAGGTAATTAAACCTGATCTTTACAAAAATCCCCTCGTGGTTCTTCTAAAGCTAGCAGTTGGGACCCATATTTTTTTATTTTTTTAACCTCTTCTCTGTGAAGACTGCAGGCCAGAAATTAGGTTTTGCAACTTCTAAATAATATCCATAAAAATGAAATAAATATTTCCATGGTTATTTGTCTCATGTGTCATCCTGTTACCACATGGGCCCTGGCATTGTTTGGCCCTGGCTGGCTTCTACTCTCCCAAACCTGCCTCCTTGGGAGTAGCGTGGGAGGGTGCCTGTGCCCTGGCTGACAATTTGGCAATTGCTGGAGAGGGGCAGATAGTTTAATTGTACAGCTGTGAGCTGTGCCACATTGTATAAAACATGCCCTGGCCCCCTTTCTGTCCATGATATCCCTCATGCTAAGACATCTTGGGTAAGTCTAATTTGTAAATCAGTCCACCTAAATACTATCTATATGTATGTATAGCCAAAGAGAAGTAGTATCCCTTTGCCTTAGCCATCTTTCTTATATGAAATAGTTGTGGGGAAGGCCAAATGGGCTTCACTTTCTCTCCAATACACAGTATTGCTGATGTGTTTGAAGATTATAAATTTGGCCTCAAAATACATGAAAAAGGATGAAATGGAGGGAGAGAAAAAGTATGAATGAATGAAACGTGAAAGTATTTATTGTTGATGAGGAAGAAAGATGTATGATGTTTGCATACTACCGTCCCTGCAGTGTGAACATTCTCTAGGTGTAAACTTATCCCCAGCAGTGAGGAACACGAATTGATAAACTGCAATAATTTTTTTTGCACAAAACACAGGAAAAGCCCCCCAACATACTGCTTGATCACCCAAAGCTTACAAAGTAAGCTTTCTGTTTTCTCAAGTTATCTTTTCAAAGAAAAGTTAATGACTTTTGATATTTGCTTTTGTGTTAAGAATGGGCAACTATGACCAAAGTGAATTCTTGTAGAAAATTTTAATTTCTCTTAAATTATTTCAAAATTTTAAAATAAATCATGAAGAAAAAAACCCAGCTTTCGTAAATATTTTAGTTATCAAAATCCTAGTTTTATTTTCTTCATCTTTTCATAGAAAATCCAAACTCCTAAAATTTCAAAAAATTTCCTACAGCACTATGTCTCATTCAAAACACTGGATAGTAATCTACAATTCCAGAAGAGGATTTCTATGAGACAATCTGTTTATATATGTTTTACACATTGCCTGGTTTTAACTCTGATATCTGGGATCTTTAGTCTTCTTCCATGCTCACTGGTAGGTAGTAGAAAAGGAATTTAGCATATAGTGCAGTCTTTTACCAGAGCATCTTTTGGCATCTGCTTATAATGAAATAACTGAGAACTCTAGAGCAAAGTCTTTCATTAAGCTTTTTGTACAGTAAGGTGTCCTTATAATAGAATTATTTTTTTTAGGCAGTAAACTGTAATTACAGAGTTTTTCATCCAAGAGTTCTACTTTTTCAGGGGATATTAATCAGTATTTCAGTGAAGTAGTATAAAAAGGAGAGGTTTTGTATTAATGGTCCAAACACATCAAAAAACAGGATATATTATTTAAACAAGTCACTCAGGCACCTACCTTTATTACTTCACTTAAATCAGAGTTGACCTTTTGTGGTTCTTCCAAAATAGTTGTGGCACTGAGCAAAATGCTGTTCACTTCATCCATTTGCTTTTTTACTTTCTCAAGTTGTTTCTACAAAGAAACCCCAAAACATAAATCACATCCAATACCATTTGTGCATTGATAAAATACAGTGTGAAGTTAATTCAAAAGATAGTGGTGAACTAAATAGATTTTAGACATATCTGAAGTCTGATTTTTCCAGACATCTGCAATAGCTACATATTATAATGTGACTGTGCACTTTTTTGGTTTTGTGAAAGAAATGCTGAGTGATTTTTAAAAAAAATTATTAATTTTATTTTGTATTACAGCATAACCAGTTATTGGAATGAAACATTATTCAGTGCACTGCCAGCAGAGACAAATTAACCAGCAATTTTTCATAGGGATCTGGAGATTAGTTTTTTCTGGAGTTTTTTAAAATCTACAGTAGAGTGATCTCTTTTCCTTGTCAGTAGTAAAGCATCTTCCTTCATTGTGAGGAATAATGAAGATCCAACTGATTAAAAACAGTGAACAAATGCAACTACACACTTCAGGCTTTGCTTTATAAATGTGAGACAAGCTGCAGCTTGGCACTGTAATTATGAAACAATGGAACAACAGAAGAGGCTTTGTACTGAAGGATCACAACCTCTTATAGAAGGATTCATGAGAGCAGCACACCTGATTTCTCTATTGAGTTGTTAGACCTTCCACATCAGCAGGAACTTCTATCACTGTAAATTTCAGGAGCTCAAAACTCAGCCTCCGATGCTATGAAACCCAGAGGTTGGCCTGAATTTGCAAGATTATTCTTCAAATCACAAAACTGCTCCCTAACCCCCTTCTGCTCCAGAATCCAAACGAATTCAGCCACTGAAATGAAAACAGTTTCCTTCAAATGCTCCCAATTCATTCTCCTTGTCATTTTATTATTTGCTGAAAAAATAAATGAAAAGTTTTACATGGGATATTCTGGTTTTGCATTCCTTAAAGGAAACTTAGGAAAATGGGGAAAGAGTCACAGAACCGCTGGGAAGAGAAAAAATACTCTTTTTTTATATGGTTGATGGATTGGGTACTTTCCTGGGATAAGAGGCTTGAAAATTCAATTTCCTCATCAGCCATATGGGATTTGAACCTAGTACCACCACTTAGAGGCAAACATGCCCCACTTCCATGCTGTAGGGGACAGGTCTCCTCAGAGCTCTCCTCTGGAACTATTTATTTGAACAGGTCATAGGGGAAAACTGCTGTATCCTTACAACTAATCTGTTCACCCAGCACGTAGGAAGCCCAATTTCAAGGTACCTATTGTGCAGCAGTTAGACGATGGATTTATGCATGAAGGTGCAAGGACCACCATCTGCTCTTCCTGAAAAAGTGGTGATGCATTTTGTTTAAAGAGGATCAGAGAGAAAGTATGGGTGAGACAGTATGAATGAACTCAGACCAGGGCACAAATGCAGCACAGAGTCTTTATAAATAATTGTTTCCATAGAATATAATTACTTTTGTGAGCATGAGGTTCTTTCACATTATAAGTCAGTACATAATAGGTGAAACAATCCCAGCACAATATTTATAGCAGCCATGCTACATAAAATTTCAAGCTTCCTGTGTTTTACTGTAATATGCCTTCCAAGGGTAGGCATAAGTATCCATCTCTTCCTTGGTCTGATGAGACATGACATGCCAAAATTTGTCATTTATTGTTACTCCACAAATAAATAAAAGTACCTTGAACTTTCACGACTTGTTTCTTAGAACTGAAGAGTCAAACTCATCCTGCTGACTGGTCCAAGAAATTCTTTTTTGGTGTGGTGATTCCTGACTTTAAGTTATGTTCAGTCTACTACTTTAAGCAATGGCAGAGATCGAGCATTTGCAGACAAGTTGTGATAAATGTACTGCACAGTACCTCACGCCTTTGGAGACTGGCTGTGTTTTCCTTATTTATATCCTCCGTTTGTAAAACATAGTCAAGTGCCTGGTCTAATGCCTCCTCCAGATCTGACAGCTTCACATCCTGTTCGCTGAGCTGCTCTAGCACATCAGATACTAGGGATCTGGTGTCATTGTACTTCTCATGAAACGTTTCAATTTGCTGTAGCACTAGGAGAAAAATAACAGGCCAATAAATACAAAGCTTGCATGTCTGACAAAACTTACCTATACAACAATTTCTGTTGCTATTACTCAGGCAACAGTAAAACACATTTTGTAAAGCTCACTTTTGAGATCATACACTTAGATTTTAATTTTCCTTCCTCTTTTGAAAAGGAAAGATGCCTCTCATTTCACTATCTTATTTTAATCCTGTTAATTCCCCCTCTGAAGTAGAAGTCCTTAAAAGAAACTAGGTCTATCTTTCCTTGCTTTTTATTTATTTTTCATTGTCAAAACCTAGGCAGACTATTCTGGAGAAGACAGTCCTTAAGCCTCACATTCTGACTTATGTTCACTAAGCTGTGAGAACTAGACTGCCACTCTTTCCTATGCCAGCAGTTTTTCTCTCTCTACTGGAGTTTGCTGTCCCCATGGCAGAGCTGGAGGGGAAAAGACATTCACATGAGGAATTCCAGTCCTGTCATGAACCTTCTCTAAGCATCTGTTATTGAGGTGCTGCAATGCACAGGCACATGTGGATCTTTTTCTCCCCATTCTGCCATGGGGAGCAGCAAGCATCAGCAAACTTGGAGCAGGCATTTGGAAGCAGCAGCATGTCCAGCACACCAGTTGGTGCTTGCCAAATGCCTGTCTGTTCTCCCCAAGGGCTCAGCAGTACACCCAGAGCTGCCCACCCCGTGCCAGCTGCGCAACATGTGGGTGAATGGAAAAGGCTGAAAACTTACACTTCTCTGCTGCATTTTCCTCTTCATCCGCAAGTTGCCTTTGATTAGTGAAAGGCTTACGACGTTTGATCTCCTTCAGCATCTCCTCAGCCACGCTTCGCTTCTGGGCAACTTCTTCAGGGCTCAGCTCTTGTTGTTGTTGAATTACGAGGTATTTTGACTTGCTGCTGATTTCTGGGGGGAAAAAGGAACAGATGGTCAATTCACTGTGACTACAGAGAAGTAAATAATGTGGAGTACTTTTACTTTTGTGAATCCAGATCATGCTGTAGGCAAAAGAAAGTTTTAATTATCTTCAACTCTATGGTAGATAATTATTATGTTTAATCCAGTTTTAAAATTAAACCTGTAAAAAAATCACACTTGCTGGTATATGTGGAGGTCTCATCAGAAGAGGATGAGATTGAGCAGGCATGGGATGTGTGCATTATTTGGCTTGGCAGTTCTCATAGGCTGGAATCATCATTTTATTTTGAGTTCTGTGGCATGTAGCTGGCTGGGGCTTTTATCTGGCATTGTGGTTTTTAAGTGCTGCTGCAAAAATGTTATGTGTATTAAACAACAACTATGGTAAGGAGAAGTGTTATGTTTATTAAATAACAACAGTGGTAAGGAGACTGAAGTAACTTCTTTTTCCATCTACAGAAGTTTGAGGCACCTTAAAGAGGTATACTGCCTTGCTGGTTTGGTGATAGATACTATTTCAAGGTTTTGAAACAGTTCAAAACTGTTCAACACTGTTGGATCCCTGCAGCTAAATTGAGTTTACCAATCCCCAGTGTAAGCATTACAAAGTTTACCCACTTCTCACTCCCTGTCCTCGAATACAAATCACCACCTCTTTTGTACCCTGTGATGTGCGTGCCTTTGGCTTGTATTTATCACTAATTTTGTGGATAACCAGAGCTGGCAAAACCAGCAATATGTATCTGTAAGACTTTTTATAAAAGATAGATGTGTAACTGTGGCACCACTTATTCTTTGGCAGAGTGTCTCTGCATGCATTTTCTTGCTGGACCCTGAGCTCATTAGTGAAGCTTTAAAGGCTCATACTGAGCACTAACTGATCATGACCAGGGGCTCCATGGATTTCTTTTTCCTTGTGCTGGTACACACACATTCTCTTCAGTAAAGAGTGGTTTGCCTTGTACAGGGTGATGCCTCTGTAGAATAATAGTTTCCATCATGGTGGAAATAATTTTCACCTACTTGTTTCCAACTGTTTTCACTCTCTTTATTCACAGCCATAGATGTTGCTTTTTCTATAACAGCTTAACCTGACTGTGTTATTTGTGTGCTGAACTAGATACATATCTGCCTTATGCAGTTCCTCCTGCCCCAAATCAATTAATGATGTAACAGGATGATCCACAGACATGGATCATGATTGCTAGTGACACACAACGAGGCTCATGATGATGCTTATACTCAATAATTGTAAAAATAGAATGTGACAAATGACCAAGCCGCCAACGGTGGTTTAGCATTAGATGTGAAAGGAGGTAGTACAAATGTAACATCCTATGAGACTGGTATTAGTCTGCCTCTTTTGTGTGGTGGATATATGAACCCCGTATGCTGAAATAAAGTAGTGGTTGGAGCACTCATGGAGGTAAGGAAAGCAAGGATAACAGCTGATATGTAACCACTCTTTCTTACACAAGTTGCCACATAGCTTGCAATAACTGCTAAGATAGAACTACTCAGGTCTATTAATCTAATATTTCCATTGGAAAAGGGCTCTTTAACCTCAACTACCAGTCTATTCTATTCTGGTGCCATAGAAAGCTTTTGTATACTGTTGGATTTGCTGAAGCCTAGGAAAACCCATGTGTTCTATAGCAGGATGGAGGCTTTCATGATGCAGCTGTACAGAGGACAGGGATATTTTTGAGTACATTCATTTTGGGTTTTATTGCTTTCTGTAGGTATTGAAGAAGAGGCTGTAATTGGTTTAGTCTCATTTTTATATATGAGGATGATAAGAATATGTCATAGATATTCCAGATGAAGATGATTATCTCTGACTAGGAAATCTTTTTTAAGTGCAGCTGTGCTTGGGAAGTGTTTACTGTTGTCATAAATTACATACTGTCCTATATATTGAAGGATAAACCCTTTGATATGTAGGACAGTAAAAATTCTTGAAAATTCACTAACACATGAAGGTTTCATTAATACATTCTTGACACTGAGCTGAGCCAGAAAGAAATCTATTTACCTTCAATGTTATCTCTCATGTTATTGAGCTGCTGCACAAGCTGAGTAGCACGGTTGTTGGTCTCTATGGTTTCCTTCTGTACCAATAAGCCTTTGCTGGATGCTTCACTTCCCTATGAATAAAACATATGAAGTAAACATTAGATTTCTTTTCAGATGTGAGGATGAAGAGTATAAACACACATTTTCTTTTCTCCTGATGAGCATGTGGAAGTCCTTTTTATCATATAAAGTGATATTTACAAAGGTGCTCAAAGTGCAGATCGGTCTTGTTGATGTTTTCAGAATTGCAGAGTGAGAGATTAAAAGTTGTCCCATATTTATCCATTATTTGCTGCAATAAAATTTTCATAAATTATGTACAGTTGTAAAATTCCATCTGATGGCTTATTTTGCTGGGTATGGCATCTCTAAGTAGGCATATAGAATGAAGAAAAAGATGTCAAGCTCACAATCGTTTGCAGATCAGTGTCTTCCTCAAGTGAGGTCCCGAGAGCTGAATCTTTTTCAAAGTAAGAAAAAGCATGAGGATTAAGAATACTCTGAAAAGCATAGCCACTCTCCTATACTACTGTGTTGGAGGTTGCACTCTGCATTGTGTTCCCTTATAGGTAAGGGAAACAGAGAGCTACCATATCATAGTCACCTTCTTTTCAAGAAGGTTGCTGACTTTGGGAGTCTTTAGACTTAATTTTCTCTGTTATTTCCTAGGATAAAGAAAACAACATGACCACTGTGCCGTCCATGTTTCATGGACCCTTTGGGTGTGGGTGTGTGTAAATCCACACTACACACTTACCAGTGGTAAGTGTTTGATTCACAGTCTCTGTTGGGGCTGCATCAGCAAAATTTTCAACAGTAAAGCTGCTTTCTGGGTTTAGGGTGCCCTGATACCTCATAAGGCAGAGGATACTTGGCTGTTGGTATGCTCGCTTTGTATTTATTTGACCCTGCAAGAAGCGCGTTCTGGCTGCAGGTTCAGCGCTGAAATCAGCCTTCTCCCACATTTTCACGTGGGGTTTGCGGAGGCCCCAGGTGGCATTTGAAGGCAGGGCCAGGGCAGCCAGCACTGCTAAGAGGGATGGGCATACTGATAAAACAAATGTAAGGGTTAGTAGTAAGGATTCTGGTGCATGTCTGCCAAACATTCAGGATCAAGCTACGTGCTGTTTTACTCAAAGCTCATCCCATGCAGATTCAAGGAGCTACAGATCACATTTACTCTTCTCATTTAGCAGGAGGTTTTGCCTGCAGTTGGTGCATTCATCCTGACTTTGGGGTTTAGATCAGAATCTGCAGCAACACCTGAGACATGGGAACATGCGTGTGAAATGCTCCGAACAGAAAATGCTGCATAGCTCTGCAAAATCCACTGAAGGCCCTACCACCCATTTTCCATTAAAGTGCCTGGAAAGAGCACAAAGTTCAATATATTCAGAGTTATTATTGTGCTCTTCCTCCCACTCTTAGAGTCTGGGGCCGTTATTTCCCTGCCTTTGCAAGCAATCACGGGTATTGATGTGGAACAAGCATTAGAAGTAACAAGGGAGAAAAGACCAGAGGAAACACTGAATTTATTTGTTCGAGGACAATAAAATTGAGGAATGAGCTCAGAAATCCCCAGATAGTACTGAAAATGTAATGTTATTATACAAATTCACTAAATATTCATAGAAAACCTAATGCCTTAATCATCTGGCTCACCAACTACATAGAGGGACACTGAGGCATGTGAGCTCTGACAGATATTCACAGATACAGAGCTCTGTGGGTGAGCTGATTTAATCAAAGCTCTCTTGAGCACAGGCATAGTCTCTATCATTCCTAGGTGCCCTTTATACTAAGTTAACTAAACTGTTGACTAAAAACACCCAAACTCAAATTTTCTCTTTTGCTTTCCTTTGTGTTGTTTTTTTTTCTCCCTGCTTGCTCCTGTATTTGAGTTTTAGTTTAAGGTATAATTTTAATTTGTCTTGTGAAAGAATTGGTATAGTGAATATAAGGTCTGGCATTTTGCAATAAGCATGAAATATAATCTAGTCCTACTACAGATGTGGTTATCTCTGATAATAACATAGAGTGATGTATTTTACTAATATACATATATATCTATCTTAGCAACAGAAAGATGTTTAATATTATCTTTTTAAAATAGAGAGGCAGTTCTGAACCCTATTTTTTCTCTTAACATATAACATAACAGTATCCTTCTGGGGTGCAATGATAGTGTTGTGGGATCTGAGAGCAGATAACTTTAATTTTATAGCCTGGCAATTTGACATGGATGCAACATTTATGACTACAATTGTGTTAAAAATAACTTGAGCGCTGATCAGGTTCCCATCTCAGTGGATACATGAAAAACCTTTTAAATTGGCAGGTTTATAATATATTTTGAAATGTTTAATTGTGGCTACTTTAGTTTTATGAGAGCATACACGTAAAATAGATATAGTACAAATGCTTCCAAAGTCAATCTGAATTAGACAGTGTTGGTTACTTCGCTTAACTAGAAAATAAAATGTGAAAGAGAAAGGCAGTGTGTATCTCAGATCAAAGATGTTGTGTAGGGGGTAAGTGGGAACCCAGATCTGAGGAGAAGCTTTTTGTGATTGATGTCAAACCTCCAACCACACTCAACACACTTTGGCCTTACCTCCTTCCTTTTCTGTGAAGACTTGATAGGTCATTTATGCTTTTAATTCAGAGTTAAAGTACAAAGCTAGAAATAGAAGGTTTTCCCAACTGTCTTTCAGGGCACATCCACTCTTGTTTGGTGAACGCAGAGATTCAGACTAGGTGTTAGGAAACATTTTTTTGTCGTGAGGGGTCAAACACTGGAATGGATTTCACAGAGAGGTGGTCGATGCCCCATGTCTGTCAGAGTTTAAGAAGCATTTGTACAACGCCCTTAATAATATGCTTTAGCTTTTGGTCAGCCCTGTATTGCTCAGGCAGTTGGACTAGGTGATCATTGTAGGTGCCTTCCAACTGGAACTATTCTATGCAAGCCTTTTATGCCAAGAGGTAACTATGGCAATGTGCAAACTCTCAGAGTTTTGGCAGGAGGCTATAAACAAACCTGTTCATCAAGTGTTGCTGCTTCTCTCAGGAGGTCATTCATTTCATCTGCAGCATCTTCGACCTGGATAGTCCAAAGCACAACATGGCTCTTCTTTTTGGACATTGCCTCCTGCATGTGGGGAAAAAAAGTCAGTGCATCTGAAAAAAACCTATTTCTCTAGTGAGGGCAGGGATTGAAATTTACAGGAGTGGAGTGGAAATTCAAAGATTCAAATTATATTAAAAAAAAAATGTCATCAATGTTAGTACCTGGAGATGGGTGGTAGTGAGGTTCAAGTCATTCAAGCGCTTTTGAGCTGCAAGACCTGTAGAAATGCTCAGTAAAGTTGATTTGCTTTCATCAATAGCCAGAACTGATAATCGGATGTCATCTGTCAAATCCCAAATACATTTATCGCAGCCTGGTAAGAAAATAAGAAAGCATAATTTTTCTTTAATGTTTGTGTCAATTAACAGCAAATATCCTAAATTCATGTTATAAATTCATTTTATAGTGCTCTTGCACTGTGGCATTCCCTCTCTTTGTCATTGATGGATCCTGATGGATACCCATCTTTCTTTCACTTTCATCCACCTACTTCCAAGGTCCCACAGTACAGATATGATATTTCCAGCTGAGCAGCACCAGATGGAACTGCTCAAAGGGGCTGCCACAGCAATTCTGTAATCAGTAGGGAGAGAGGGAGAGGTATTTCCTGGCTATTCCCTAGGCTCTGCATGTTTGTGGCCTGAAGAATAGCAGATGAGGGTCAAAAAAACCCCCTGCATTTTTTCAGAACCCAAACCTCTGTATTTAAAATTCAGTGGTATGAGAAGTAAAGATGTCCAGCACATGGGCTTTTGACTGCCTATTTGATTAGGAAGGCAGCTTTGAAAACCACAGTTATAACATGCCTGAAAAGTGCTTGTGCAGAACTATATCCTTGTTCCTGCTGAATGATTGCAATGCCACCTTGTTTTTAGTAATATTGGTGTCATCACTAAGCGCAAGAGACCTAGGTGAATGTGAGATTCCTACAGACATTTTTCCTTGATGTTCTAGCAGCTCCCAAATGCTTTCCTTCTGGTTGCACTTCAGGCATATGACCCTTCTTCTTGAGAGTCAGTTTAGGATTAATGGTCTGCATTATACCACAGATATAAATATACTAACATTTAAAAAATATCAGTGGTTAGCAATAGTTACAACATAATGCTCCAGGAAACTCTCCAGGTTTCATATCAGAATATGGGAGATAGTGTAAAAGCAACTATTGGCAATAGCAACGATCTATATTAGATGTGCTGGTTTTGGCTGGGGTAGGGTTAATTTTCTTCACAGTGCCTAGTAGGGGGCCGTGTTTTGAATTTTTGCTGAACACAGGGTTGATAATATAGAGATATTTTTGTTATTGCTGAGCAGTGCTTACACAGAGCCAAAGCTTTTTCTGCTTTTTGTACTACTGGTGAGCAGACTTGGGCTGTGTTGGAAACTGGGAGGAGACACAGGACAGTGATCCCAACTGATCAAAGGAATATTCCATATCATATGACATCATGCTTAGTATATAAAGTAGGGGGAAGAAGGAGGAAGGGAGGTGATGCTTAGAGTGATAGTGTTTGTCTTCCAAGTAACTGTTACAGGTGATGGGGCCCTGCTGTCCTGGAAATGGCTGAACACCCACCTGTCCATGTGAAGCAGTGAATTAATTCCTTGTTTTGCTTTGTTTGCATGCATGGCTTTTGTTTTCCATGTTAAACCATCTTAATTTCAACCCATGAGTTTTCTGCCTTTTACCCATTTGATTCTCTCCCTGATCCTGCTGGAGTGAGTGAGTGGCTGTGTGGTACTTGTTTGATGGCTGGGGTTAAACCACAACAGATGTATGACTAGAAACCCATAAATTAAGTTGGAACAGATAAAGTTGTAAGGGCAATTTTCAGGGCCAAAATATTATTTTGCAGGCACTGTGGCTCAAAGTCTATGGAAACGGTTTTGATGACACTTTTCTCCCGCTCTGCAGCTTGTACCTGAACGTGCAGTCTGTATTGCAGAGTTGGACATACCCATGTACTCTAACAAGTGTGTGAGAACATGCTTAAATACTCAGTCTGCAGGTCCTTGTGTATATTCACAAATTTAAATGCTCTGTGGGACTGAGGTCAAAGTGGTAAGTCCACTGGAGTACCGAGCTCCCAAGCTAGTATTTGTAAGCTTCTAAGTACAAGAGCGATATTAATTTTTGGTATTCTCGTGATGATGTTCTTACTGATGGTTGGGCAGTCTGTGTCAGTAGAAGCTTCAGGACTGTCTGCGAGGCATTCTCCAGTCTGACTGTCACACATTCTCCCTCCACAGTTACATGCTGGGGGAAAAAGAAAGGACATTTGAAAGAATAATCTTCAAAATGTACAACTCCCCTTTCCCCTCTCAAGACTAGTGAAATTATTTTATTTAGGATTGTGCATGGATAGTTAAACCAATATCAAGAACTTCTTGGACTGATTTTCCCTTCAGTATGTGGAAATTTGCACTATGGTCAAAATGAACCAAATGAAATATAAAGTGGAAAACAGAATGAGAACACCTCTGCTGAGATTTCTTGTTCGAAGCCTGGTTACAAGCAGAGCCAGCGAGGCCAGAGTTGCCAAGATGGGTCATTGTGCATCAACATCTAGAGAGAGTGACATTTAGGAGATGTGCTAAGAAAAACAGCACAATTAAAGTTAATTATTAGTTACAAGTTTCTCCAAAGCCCTGTAGAATTTATCAGCACTGTGTCAGGCTGTCACCAGAAAGGTTTTGCAGCTATCAAGGATTGATAGTGGACTCCAATTCCATCGTCACCTTGAATATATCAAAAAGTAAATATCTCCTACCACTTACAGTGAAGAATAAATGACATTTTACATTTTTTCAAACTTGAGTAAGTAACATTTTTATTGCCAGCACAAGCAGCTTTTTAAAAAGTCTATTTTTTAATCTAAAGTGTCTCTTTCAAGGTTTAATTGGCCTTTTAAAATATATTATTTTAAAGATTAAAGTATTCTTTGAGCACTTTGATACAATTACAAAAACTCAAGTAAAACATAAGAACAGCCACAACTTTTCTGGAATTTGTTTTGTTCTTGTGATTCATGGTTTCAGCAGAATCTCATATAACAAAATATTTTACCATCATTTTATTTCAGCCCATTCATTTCTCTCTATTTCTGTATTTACATTGCACATTGCACATTCAAGGAGTTATCAGTGAAAATATGTAATACAAATTCAAAGACAACATGATGCAGTAACGTTAGAATAACTTTGTATAAGTGGACCAGTGTTAGTAGAACTAATCAGTTTTCGTACTATGTAAGAACAGAAATTGGTTATGAATTTTCTGATACAGTCAGTATTTTGACCTTATCCCAATCTGTATGAACTGGGTGCCTACCAGCTTTTGGATCTACAAGTATTTTTAATTTGCTATTTCTTTTGTTAAGAAGTGAAAGAAAAGTCTCAGTTGAGAGCAGAGATTTCTCTTTGCCTATATCTTGGAAACCAGGTTGCCATGCCCTGATGGCATGTCACAGTTACAAAGTTAAAATTTGGTTGAGATCAGTGCTCAAGTAAATAAAATTGTGTCTTCTTATTTAAATGAATATCTGTTAGTTTGCTACAAAAAAAACTTATAGCAAATAAATTTCAAAAGCAGTCCTGACTATTTTTCAACTACTTGTTTAAGTACCACATTTTCAGAAGGGAAGTAAGACTTTCAATGCTACTGTGGTTTACTGGTGAAGAAAGCTTCTGAATTTACCTTTATTTCTGAGGGACATTGTGGAGAGTTTTGAAGTGTGGCTAAAGGATGTCTGGTTAAAAAAGAATTATTTAAAAGCAGTTGAAAACTATTGTACACAGCTACACAGGCTTTATCTTTGTACTCAAAAGAAAAAAAAAGATGATCTTAGATCGATAGAGCTGTTTGTTCCTTTAAGTTTTCTGGCCTTATTTTGTTCTAAATACCCTTTGAGATGCTCTGTGGAAACCATATATGCAGATTATCTTGATTCTTCTACTAGTTTAGTTTCTGTATTTTTCAGTTTTAAAGAAGATATTTGTCTCATTTCAGAATCCATTCTAAACAATAGTTTCTAATTGTTCTACAATGCCAAACAAAGTATAAGGTTTCCCTGTAAACTACATGAATAGTCTGAATATCATGGATGTATTGATCTGCTGCAATCTATGCAGTACTGTCAAGTACAGCACATTGTGGTGTTCAGCAGAAATTAAGATGAAATAAGAAGTGTGTAATTCTCTGAAACATAATACTGAACAATCAGGATTTGCTAGAGTGAACTTCAATATTAAATTCACTTCTAAATAAAGAAAAGCTGTAGCTCTCACAACATATCCAAGTGCCCAAGCATTTTTTATTTTTAGCAAAGACCAAGTACTACAAGGAAATCTGCTAACAAAGAGAATTACCATGCTCATTTGTAGTCTGCATGGAAAGCCTGTACAGAGAAGTCCTGTGCACCTACTTTAGGGCACAAACAAAAAAAATTTGACTTGAGTTTCAAAACTGTGTGTTCAGAGATGCCTTCCAAAATTATATATTGCATAACCTGTTTAGACACTTGGAACGCCCTGTAATCCTCAGATTTCTGGCAAAGCTACTCTTAGGTGTTTGAAGCTTTGCTTTTCATAGAATCATAGAATCATAGAATCGATTGGGTTGGAAAAGACCTCCGAGATCATCGAGTCCAACCCTTGGTCCAAATCCAGTCCATTTACTAGATCATGGCACTCAGTGCCACGTCCAATCTGCGTTTAAAAATCTCCAGGGATGGTGAATCCACCACCTCTCTGGGCAGCCGATTCCAATGCCTGATTACTCTCTCTGTAAAGAATTTTCTCCTGATATCCAACTTAAATTTCCCCTGGCGGAGCTTAAGCCCGTGCCCCCTTGTCCTATTGCTGCGTGCCTGAGAGAAGAGACCAACCCCCACCTGGCTAGAACTTCCCTTCAGGTAGTTATAGACGGTGATGAGGTCACCTCTGAGCCTCCTCTTCTCCAGGCTAAACAACCCTATGCCTATGGCCAGGGCACAATTGTTGCAGTTTGCTGATCTGAAGTTCTGGATGGGTTTCTCCTTCCTCAGGGAATTCAGCAGTCACAGATTAGATCCTGTCATTCATTCCTTATGGGAGAACTGCAGTTAAATCATCTCAGGTGAGGTGAATTAGGCAGTGAAGTTCATAAACAAGGTTTCCTTTTGCAATCTCAAAATCACAGAGGGTGCCTAGATCCAGATAGGTGAGTTTTGGGGCATTGTGTTCCCTACAGCTGATGTCTTTTTAGCTGTTTTGGATACATGGCTTTGGCTTTTGGGATCACTGTACATGAGCACTATCTCTTCCTGCTCTTGTAAATGGAATTTAAGCACATGACTAAGTGATGTGAGTTACATCCTGGAGATGGGCACTCAACTTCTACCTGTCACTGGAACATAAAACCAGAAAGGACCAATAGTAATATCATATGGGGTCCCCTACAAATGAAGATAGCAGCACAAGGGACACTTGAGTACTCACAGACTCCATCTTGTGTGTCCAAAACCACATTTATAGTAAGGTCGTAAAAAGCTAAGTTCAAGTGGACAGTGAGTTGCAAAAAGGATCAAGACATTGCTAAGGCCCTGAGGCCTGTAGCTCTGTACCCTGAGGTTCTGGAGCGCTTCTGAGGTCCAGATTGGGTGTGTGCTTTGTCTGTGTCTTACTTTGGAGTCAGGTGAAGAGCTAGAAGTGATCTATCTCCCCAGTTTGTGTTCTAGTCCTTCAGGGAAAGACCCTGCCATGAGGTTGGGAGGGAGCTCCAAGGTCCTTGCTCTGAGCAGCTGCATTTTGCAATGGCTATTCCTAAGTGCTTTGAAAGAGGATGTAAACTTGTCTCCCAGAGCCAAAGCAAGGACAGAGGGCATGAATTCAAAGGATTGAACTCAGTAGAAATCGGGAGAATAATTATATTAGAGGAGATAAACCTTTGTGAACCCTCTGTACAGGTATGTTTTGGTAAGGTCCTCTGGGTAGCACTGTACCAGACTCTTAAAATACAGTCATTTCTGGTGTGGAAATATTGTAACCAGCAAGATTACACAGACACAAAGGAAATGCAGAATACATTACCAGTGTGGAAACTAGCAGAAAGTGAGTGGGCACTGGGTCAGGGCAGGAAGGATGATCCTGTTCCCTTAAAAATACTTTCAAGTCTTTAAACACCATCAGTCTGAGTGGTCATGTTGGGCAGCACATGGTGTGGACAAGCATAAAGGTGAAGTCTCTGTCCAAAGAAAGCTTAGACACCCTTATTTAAAACAAGATTCAGGAGGACACAACAGTGCCTACATTAATCCTGCTCAGGCACTAAAGGTTTTGGACTCTGGGATCTGAGACTTGCTCATGGGCACTGAAAAGAGATATTTCCCTGCCACTGGGAATGATTCAAACTGAACAGGCATCCAAATTATCCCACCAGGCAGATGGCTGGGAGCACTGCCTGCCTCCCAGGGCCACGAATATCTTCTAACTGCTTCACATATCTCTGATATTTGGGAGATCATCCATAGATCATGCTGTGCTGCCTTTTGCTCAGCTCTGCTGGACTAAACTGAGACAATACCTGTACAGTTTTTAGCAAATCTGGCATCCCCATAGTAACCCGGAGCACATCGTTCGCACTTGAACCCGCTGGTGTTGTGCAGGCAGTTGCGGCACTGGCCGGTCACTTCATCACAGTCTTCAAAAATCATGTTTGGATCTGAGTTGCCATTGCAGTCACATTTTTTACAAGTGCTTCCAATTAGCAAAGGGTTTCCATAGTAGCCAGGGGCACACCTGAAAGGCAGAACAAACCTGTCAGTGACAAGCAATGACATTCCCATCTGCAGTACCATTTTTTCTGACCATATTTATGTTACCAAGAATTGATGACTATCAGCAGCTACTAATGGACAGGAGGCAAATTAGGAGCTGTATTTCTGCAGAGATTGCTTTGTACTCTAATCTCAATCTGTATAATTATATATTTTTCCCTTCTTGAACACCCCTGGTATTTCATACACACCAGTCTGCATTGATTTACTTTTTCTGTGTGTCTTTAGCAGTGAAATTATTTGTTCTCTATTGTTTTAAAATCTGTGACAGAATGACCTTGGCAGAGAAGCAGCTATACAGTGTTTATTCTGGTCTCTTTCAGCTTTGGATCTCACCAACTATATTGTGTTGTATAGGAAACTGGGGTAAGAGACAGCATTTCATGATGCTGAAACTCAGAGGAAGCTCAGACTTATTTCTATTATAAATGTACATAAAAAGTACTGAGCAGGAAAGATTTATAGAAATACTTCTATGGTGACGTCTTGGGGTGGTTTCTGGTTTTTGCAAAACAGAACAGGCACTGAACCAGACTGCGTTTTTCAGATCTGTTTGATGTTGGCCTGCTAGATGAGGGCAAAAGGCTGAGAGCAGCCAGCAGCCTGGGAAGGGAGGATTCCTGTGTTGGTTTTCAGAGGGAGAGAGGGAGGAGCGTACCAAGCACCACAGGGAAGGCCTGAAATGGGTCCAAATTACTTATCGTGTTTTGGCACGTTTGGGAAGCATTTCAGCTGAGAACTTTCTACAGCTTGAAATAGAAGAGATGTTGAAACTGTGGTGGTTTTTGAGACCCTAGACAAACCAGTGATATGAACCATTCCTGGGTGACCGGTGGCCCTAAGCTACTTGGTCATTATTTGGGAAAAAAGTGTCTCAGTCAGAGATGTTTTTGCTGATATCAGGGAGTGTGCTTAATCCTACAAGCAAGAGGAGCTTTTGCAAAACAACCAGCGAGGCAAAGAGAACTGGGGTGAGCATGGAGCAGTGCATGGGAGCAAATCCTCAAGAAAGGGATTTGCTGAAGGATCTGGCAGCTGAAGCAGCATGGAGCAGTGCCTGATGGACTGGAGGGGTCAGCTAGAAGGACAAGGGCAACCCACACTGTTCATGGTGTTACTGCACGGTGGCAGGAGGGCCCACAGAGATCAGGGACTTATACCCCCAAACTGGAAATGAAGAATTACTGCAGGGAGGGGAATAACTAGCTGGTGTAGCAATTGCTGGCTGAAGAAATTGGAGGCTTGGATAGTTGCTGCAATGTCTTAGGAAAGGAGTGCCTGTTGTAGTTCATTCTGTTTTATCACCATATTGTCCTTTTCTTCCATCCATGAAGTCCTGTTTAACATGCTGTTTGTTCTGCTATTGGTGGTGGGGAGGGTGAGCACTCAGGCAGTTCAGTTAAATTTTCCCAGATTCTGGCTGGGTACCTGAACCAAGGTCTCTTGTCTCCTAAAATCTGAACATAGTCACATTCCGGTTATGCCATGTCTGAACAATGAAAATGTAGGAGATCTGATACAAGATTTGAGGTTTGATCTGTTCTTACTTTTGCTGATTTTTTTTTTAATAAAGAAAGTAATTTCCTCAACACTGCTTTGTTCATGTTCCAGTCCTGAACACCCACAGTAAAAACACATAAAATTTTAAGCATCTTAATATAAACCACTTGGCTGCCTCAAATACTGCTTTTGTCAATGACAAAGGCTCTTTTTGTATCTTTGCAGTACTGCCAGAATCTTTGGTGCAGATTTTATCATGTGGGTGACCCAGATGTAAAGAATAAAAGTGTGACTGGGAGTTCTGTGCATCCCTTGAAGAACTGTGAATGCTAAACTGCGTGTAGAGTGTAATTTATCTGACTTTGGTGAAGTCACTGCCCATTCCTGTGGGAGTTAGAGCAGGCAGCAATGGGTAAAGCTACTATTTAATCATGCCAAAAGTCTTGCTATGATTTGCTGATATTTCAGCCAATGTGAGACTGTAGTATTTTTCCGAATTTCCGAATGTTTATGAAGCTTCAACAAGGAAAAAAAGCCCTCTGCGTCATTGCTGGTTTTTTTTTTTCCTTTTTGTTTGTTTTAATCTGTAGATGCATTTGATTTATTATGAACTATATAATCTTGAAGGGTTTGGTTTTGGTTTATTGTAGTTAGGTATTTTCCAAATGATCATCTGTCTAATGTGGCCACCAAGTCACAGAGGCCACTGAGCAGGGCTGGGGCCAGACCAGCCTTTTTCTTACTGCTAGCCAGCATCTGCCAAAGACAGTGTGCTATCCTCTTCAGGCCTGCAATGTCTGCCCTCTCACTGGGACAAAGTAATTTTCCCTTTCTTCTTTGCTGATATATACCATTCAATTCACTTGCCAGGAATGTAGTGGGCATTTCCTCACATCCTCACAGATACATTTTGTAAGTGCTGCTTTTTATGACCACCTGAGGCACTGGAACAGGTTGCCCAGAGAAGTTGTGGATGCTCCATCCCTGGAGGTGTTCAAGCCCAGGTTGGATGGGGCCTCGAGCAACCTGGTCTATTGGTAGATGTCCCTGCCCATGGCAGGGGGTTGGAACTAGATGATCTTTAAGATCCCTCAAAACCGGAACTATTCTGTGAGTCTATAACTCATTTTATTGTATTTTCTCATCTGGAGCAGCTGTTTAAAACAAAAAGAGAAGCTTTAAGAGCTGAAATTTAGTGTGGCATTGCCACTCAGATCATCTCATAGGGCTGAGGAGCTTGACCTCTTTTGAATAATGAGTAGCATGTGAGAAGAGCAGAGGTCATTGACGGAAAACATACTGGTCCATCTCTGCACTTTATGTCCCGCAAAAATTTAGAGGCCTGAAGTAAATGTCTTTTCCTACATTGTATCAATAAATGACTCTTTGTTGCTAACAAGGGATGTTTCCTCTCCCATAATAAAACTGCTAAGCTATCTTTGTTTCATTTTGCAGCCCTAGTTTCTTCCTGTAATTTTTGGTGAATAAGAAATTAACTTCCTCTTCCCCTACAATGCCAAAAGAACCTTTTTAATCTATTTGCTTTAGAAACTAAAGTGTCACTTTTTCGGTTATTTTTTTAACATCTGAGCATTAACAAAACCTGCATTTCATCAGCTACCACTCTCCTGCCTTATTACTGAAGTCCAGAAGAAAAATTATTAGTTCCTAAATTTCAAGTTGGGAAGCTGGTTTTCTCAATTCCTAGCAAGGGCCTCTGTGAATTCACAGCACCATTTCCTGACAAACATAAATTGGATAAGTTCGTGCCAACCTCTAGAGCAGCACAAGAAAGCCTCCTACACAAATGCCGGAGGAAATGGAGCAGGTTGCCTCCCTGTGAGCTGTTTTGGGGATCCCACATGCTGCCTGTTGAGGGGTGTCCTGTAGCTCACTGTAACAGGGTGCCTGTCACTGACTACTGCAGAGAGCTGGGAGGGAGAATGGTGAGCAGGGTGTAGCCTTCCTCTCCCTGGGGACAGGATTGGCTCTTTGAGCTGCAGGGAGGGACAGAGGCAATGACCCTTCTCGCTCAGGATCCCCCAGTCCTCCTGCCAGAAAGCTGATGGCCCAATAGCTGGGGTGGGAGTAGGGCGTGGTGACAGTAGCTGGAAGCGTATGTGAAGTAGGGACTTGCTCTTTAGCTAGTGGACAGAGACAAGCAATGCATCATCCATCTTTGAAATGCTTTTTGATGTTTCTGACACAAATGGAAGGAGGACCAGGAGCCTACTAGAAGGCAAGTCTCGTCTGTCACTGCTTGCTGCTTACCCCAGCAATTAGCCAAGGTCTTAATGCGGTGACCAGGACAGGCTGATTTCTTTCTGTAGTTTTTTCTGTACAGCTTTGCATTCCTTCAGACAGATGTACTGTGTCAGGCTGGGTAGTGGCTATTAGAAAACAAAGCCAATGTTATTTTCTGCCGTTCCTATGCATCTGTTGCCCATTTCACAGGATTTGTGTTGCTTGTAGTCTAGGCTGACATTTAAGTAACCATTAAGAAATCTCACTGACTTTTTATTGTCTGTATTATCCTTTTTGTATAAATCTGACATTTTGGAAGAACAAAAGAATACAACCATGGGCCTGTAAATAAGGGTGGGGTTTTTTTATTTGTGTGCCATCTGTCTAAAGGGCTTTCACTGTTGCTGTCACCACGTTAGTGATGCGGAGGTAATTTACTGATGCTTTTGCATCATCTGCAAGGGGAAAAACCTTCATTCATTTGTTCACCTTACCTTTTTCATATCGATTTCTCTTCGCATCTTAAGCATCCCTTTTCTCCCTTCTCTGACAGTTACATTAAGTATCATTTGAATTCAAGATGCGCCCATTAATGACAGTTGACTGAAGACTGAAATACTTCAGACGATTTAAGGGAAAAAAAGAGATGTTCAGGAAGCCAGTGCCTGAGCCATCCTATACTCTTCAGTCTTTGTGTTAGAGCTGTTTTAATTTATTGGCTGCTTAAGGACAATTCCTGAATTATAATCAGGCCTCTGACATTCATTGAGACATCATCCCTGTGTATTCATAGCGAGTAAGACAACCTCTTACAGGACATGAGGGGTAGTTATATTTCTGTTGTATAGCTCCATTTATTGGTGTAATTTGTTATTTAGAAAATATTTACTGGAAATTGTTTATGGACATGAGGAAAATTTGAAATGCAACACTGGCCTATGCTTGGTTTGACTTTATTGAATTATGTCTGTGAAGTGCATTTAAAATGTAACTAAAAAAGCTGCATCTGCTCATTAGGAATTTGACTCAATAATGGATTTTGTTCTTTGTCTTAGAAAAATTTATTTGGTAGAAACCTGCTATGTGTTTTAGAGGGGTGAATTTCAAGAGGCATCTATGTGTTGGTTATTTTTCACTTCAGCTGCTGTTTCTGATTTGTATTTTGTATTTTTAAATTACATTCATTTTAGGAAGATCACCACATGAAGGTACACAAAGTGCAAGAAATAGATCAAAATACATCAGATGTAAATATCTGTCTTATGCTGACATGTCTCCACAGCAAGTTTTAGTGGTTTTTAGTAGAAACTGAATGAGGTCATTTAACAGACATTTAACAGATTCAACCTGATGAAAACAAATGCACCAGGTTTCTCGACCATGTGGGAAGATTTCCTTAAAAAATTCCGGACTTAAGTATTGCTGACCAGCAAGTCATCCTAATTTTTTTCTTACCTTTCACAGTTGGGTCCTGCATAGTTTTCTTTACAGACACAACGCACACTTCCACTTTTTCTGTAACAGGAGACTGCAAAACTGGAATTTCATTAGAATGAATAGTTAGAAGAGCAGGCAATAGCAAACACTTGGGAATGTTTTTTATTATATTATGGACATTTGCTGTCAGTTTGAACTCTGGCTTTTGATGACTCTTTGCTGAATAGGTATTAAGCTCCTATTATTCACATTATACCCCCCATTTAGTAATTTTAATTAGTATAGAAAGCACTAATTAGTATATAGTACTATGGAGCTGTATAAATACATACATACACACACACATATATATATACACATATATAAAAGTTCTTGTCTTGCAGTGTAAATCACACACCCTGCAGGTTTCGATACAGACATTTTAGATAAAGGACTTAGGAAAATGTCTATGTCAGGTAAACCTAATTGCTTCCTGTCTCTTATTCTAAAGGCTTGTGAAAGACACTGCAGTGACCACTTCAGGAACTGAGATTCTGGAATTGGTGCAGCAATTTCCTATGCAAATCCAGTCTAGAAGTACCGAGTGGTGAAAACTGACCTTAGTGATGCTGTCTTCATTTACAGTAACTGAGTTTACAGTAACCAAGGCTGCTCTACCATCTTTCAGAGTGAGCTGGAAAGAGTCCGTCGTCTCTTCGGAGACCAACATGTCAAGCAGTGATGCTGATTGCAGTGATGGCTTGGGCAGTAATTTTTACTGCCTTGATTCTGAATCATGGATTCCTTTGTTTTCTTATGTTTTCAGCATGTAACAAATGATTAACTAAATATGAGATTCAAAGAACAGCAGTAGCCAGATGTGGAAAGTGTAAATTGTATATACACTTCAAACGCAGTGGTGGACATGTCTTAAATACATTTGCAGAAAAAAAAAGGTACAATCCTAAAGATGTTTCTAGTTAGTTTGCAATACATGTGAATAAATTTCTGCCAGCACTAGAAAGCAACCAGAGCAGTGAGTGATGCCAGCTGCAGGCCCACAGTTGCTAAAATATAGCTCCTGAGTTACAGGGTGTTGAGCAGCTGTGGCTGGGTTGCATCCTTTTCACACTGGACAAAAGACTCAGATCAATGGGAAAGAGCATGAGCCATGCACTCCTTGTTCCAGGAGTAAACAGAATTGAAAGGTGACAAGAATTCCTGCATAATTTCAGTTCCTGTCAGCATTTCTCAGCTGGTTGAACAACTAGAGACAAATAAATCTGTGTCTGGATCTCTGGATCTCTCTGCTCTGTCTCAAAACATTTCATATAATCAGAGAGAACATAAAATGAAATTCTACTCACAGAATTCACAAATTAACTTCTGTGCAGCTTTTACAAGAACATATTGAGAAAATCATAATAGTTTGGCAGGCTTGCACTTCTGTTACGGAGACTAATTTCTTCACGTAGTTGAAAAAACCACATTGTGGATCTAAGTTATGAAATACAACTGAAATCTCCTGAAGTTTTATACTTTTTATGATCTTTTAGGGAAGAAAAAAGATCATATAATTCTCTTGAGTTTGAAAAGAAATAACATCTGCTAGACTGGGAAGCAACCTCCATCCCCCTTTTTGTTATTCCAAAGAGATGACATTACATTTATGTGTACTGTCCAAAAGTTACTCCAAAAATTCCCAGGATAGCAGATATGAAGATAGCCTGGTCAGAAAATCTAGAGACACACATCTGAGTTCCTGGAAAAAATATCTATCTGATGAGTCTGTCAGTTTACAGATTTGGTCATTTTGCCTAGTATGAATTCACTGGCTATTTCCAAAATAAAACACAGAACAAAACAACATCCTTTGAATGGTCTTTAAGACATTTAATGCTTCTTTGACTTATGGTAGAGTTATTATTTTTCCTTACTGTATATGGCGTAGGATTAATTAAGGAAAGTTGAAAAAAACTAAGAAAGAACACTTTTGCTTTGAATTTAGTTATACAAGGCTTAATGGAACTCAATTATTATTAGCCTGTTCCAGACCCAGATGAAAACTATTTCTGTGGTCAGGTCTCTCTCATGCAGGAAGCTGAACAGGCAATTTCTGCATGTGATTTAAATAGGGGTATGAGGCAAATTGGGATGGGATATTGCTTTAATTATTACCTTCAGTACTTTTCTGAGGGAAAACTCTGAAAAACTAAAGTAGATTTTTACTGAGGTAGTTTTAAAGGGGAGACATATCATATAACATAGAATATTCTGAGGTGGAGGGGATCCACGACGCTCATCAAGTCCAAAGGCTATAATTGCTGCTAATGGAGAAGCATCTGCATTCAGGCATTGTGCAACTTCTGTTCTCCCTTCCCAATCCCATGCTGCTGTCCTTTTGGGTTTGGGGTTTCCTTATCTCTAGTGGTCTGAAATAGGAGAGGCATTATGTCCCTAGCAGAAGGGCTAAGGAGCATGTTGAAGCAGGGAATGCTATTTGGCCTCTGCTCCCATCTCACATAGACTGGCCAAGATAGGCTGTAGGTCAGGTCTCTGCTAGTCCTGCTGCACTGAGCCCTACTCAGTGCCTGGTAGACTGACCAGTTCCCTGCTGTCAAGGGGCACTGCTGAAGAGCCCAGTGGGCTGCAGGACTAGGCAGGGTGTGGGTGAGTGCAAACCTAGCCATGCTGCATGAAATCACGGCATAGGGAGGACAGATCAGACCTTGCTTGGCTGACTTTGCTTAGTAGAGACTAAGTCTTGTGCTGTAGTGCCTCAGGGCATGAGCAGCCCAGTGGTTGAGAGAACATCTTCTTACGCTGAAGCAACTCCTCTGTGCCTAGCAGGCTAAAAAAAATCACGTTGCCAAGGGTAAAGCACTACTTCTGACTGTTCCTATTTTTTCAGGAATTACAGCTGTAACTGAAACTGGAGGAAGTAGTCTGCTTCATCTGTGAGCTCACTCACTCCTAAGCCTTTCTGTAAGTGAGCAAAACCAGGTTCTTCCACTGTCTCTGGAGGATTTTCTCTGTAATCCAGGCGTAAGCTGAAGTTTTTCAACATAGCTGTTCTCCACCCCATGGCCCTTTCACATGTCTGCAGCTCACTGCAAAAGCCAGAGTTGTTTTGCGGGAATTTGGCCAGAGTGATTTTGTTCCATTGCCAGGTTGAGCCCTGAGCAGCTAAGCAAAATGCAGCTTATCCCACCTTAAGGCTGTGTGAGTAATCCCATGGCAACAGCAAACAAATACAGTGAGGAAAAAATTCCCTTTACTGAGAAGCCCTGCTGAAAGCAGAATGGAAAACAATACAAGGGGAGTACGTAGCTCCCTGAGAAATAGCTTCAACCTATTGGCAATTATTTACTAGCATCTCTTCTGTGCACTATGGTGGGATTTGCAGAGATGCCTCTCTCCCAGAGCATGAAACTTGAGCAGGATGAAGTTGATAATTTCTTTCAGCTGCATTATTGATGTGCCACTCACAGTTTGTAATGGCTGCTCATAGTTTGTATTTTTTTTTTTTTTTTTTTCTGAAGGCACAAAGCAGTCAGCAGCTGGAGCTCTTTGGCTTGATCTTTTTCTGTCGGGCTTCAGAGTTTCTTATCCAAAAGTAGCCAGGCATCAGCTGAAGGGGCACCGTACCTATCACAGGGTCCTCTGGTCCTTTAACTGTTACTGTATTAACCAGATCCAACCGCTGTTGACTCAGGAGACTGACAGGTTATGCTTTTTTGTGGTTGCTTTTACCCTTCAGAGGACATGAACTGATCTTTCTGTCTCTCTGTCTCAGCCTCATAAATCCCTGATGCCACCTTCCTTGGGAATTGGACTTTAGGAGACTCTTAAAAGTAACCAGACAACTGAATAATCTCTCCTATGTAAAAGAGGGCGAACTTGAATTTGCTCAAATATTTTCTCCCCCCTCCTGGTAAAAATTTATATGAGCACTGAAGGATACTTTACACCTTCCAAGTGAAATGCTGTTTCCTGTGGTTATAAATGTGAGCAGCTGGTATTCCTCTTATATTCCCCCATTTGTCAAGAGCTGCAGCCTTGTTTCCTGCATCGAGGAAGGGATGCTGACCCCACCTTGGGAAGGGTCAAAGCCAGCCCAAATCAAAGAAAAGCAAAGACTCTTTACATACTTAGAATGTGCTGGCAGAGGACAGGGGCAGGGCTGGCAGAATGTGGGCACTCCTCTGACAACATCACCAATGAAGCCGTCTGGACACTGCTCACAGTGCTGTCCTGTTGTGTTTCTCTGGCAGTCCTTTGGTGGAAAGAGAGAGAATGGTGAAAGTTAAACAGAGGTGCTGCCTAATTCAGAAAGAAATTTAGCTGAAGACCTGGCCAAGCAGAACAGTGGCTGACGCCAGACCTAGACCCTTCAAGGTACTGACAGATGTAGCCAAAGCAGCTAGCACTCCTGAAAATAAAAATGCTATAAATGATTACACTGACCAGCAGCAAGTGTTGACAAGGTGTGATACAGGATAAAACAGACATATGTGCCTGGCAGGTGCTGGAGCAGGAGCAGCACTACCCGTTGTCAGAGATGTAGGAGGTACTCAGAGGTAACTGGCAGCCCTATTTTGAACTGCTATAGCCAGCAGTGCAAAATCCCTTTTATTGATATCAAAACAAAATAAAAAATATCTGCTGGTGAATACTGGCAACAGACTTCAGCCCAGACACAGGTTTCAGCAAGGCTGCTGTGGTGGGGGGAAATAGTTTTTCCCCCTGCAGTTATAAAATGGTAAAACCCCAGGGGGTGGTGACCCTTGAAGTTTTGAAGTTTTACCCCATGAGCGCTTCTGCAAAATATAAACATATCACACTCAGAACGGAAGAGAAGGTAGTTGTGGTTTGGTGGTAGAAGTGTTAGCCATGTTCTGAGGCCACGAGGAAGGGGCTCGGAGCCCCTTGAGGCCTCTGGGCCCCCCCAGCCCCTGGCTGGGGGTGGCTGCAGAGACTTGGAACAGCATAAGGCTGGGCTAAGTACCTGTAGCTGAAAGCTAAAGAAGTTTTCTCCACTGTGAGTGAGCAGAGACAGAGCAACAGCAGTGAACAGAGGCTATGGCTGAAAGCCAACAGATAAGAACTGAACTGCAGAAGCAGCAGAAACAGCATGCAGCTGAGCAAGGAAGACACAGAGTTGTCCGAGAGCTGAGGGAGAGAGAGAGAGCAGCAGAGAGAGAGGAAGTTGGGGTAAGAACTGAAACCAAAAGACCCCAAACTCCTTGGAGACCCCTCACCTCCTAGAAGGGAGGGGTGAAGTGCAACATGCACTGCAGAAGAGCTGAGAAGCTCAAAGTGTCCTGGAAAGCTGGACCGGGACGGAGAAGGAATGCGGAGGGGGTGACCTTGGCCGCCCCCGCTGCTTGAGACAGAGCACAGAGCTCTGTAGGGGAACTTGAATCCCCTGAGGAAAGGGACCGTCATGAAGACCCCTGAGCTTCGTGGTATGACGTGGTGATGCGAGCTTGTCCCTGCTACGCAGTCCACGGAAGAGAAGACCCTTGCTTTTGACGATGGACCACGAGGGCTAGGATAGCTCTTGTGAGTACTGGCAGAGATCCAGTACTGCTGCATAGAGACAGAGAGACCTGCTGCCTTAGAGACATTGCTGCTCTGAAAAAAGGATCTTTCCTTCTTCCCTCCTGGACTTTTATTTGGAGGGGAGAAGAGATTTGATCCATTGTAAATACTTATGTCACGGTAGAGATAGCTAAGATTGTATATAATGTATTGTAGTATTTATTTGTACAGTCATTGTAATATATTCCCTTTCCCCCATTTTGAGTCTTGTGTTTTGTCTGGAAAAACCATCTCATCACACTGGGTTGAGATGTGGGAGGGGGCTTAGACTAGGGAATTGGATTTTTGGGGCTCTCAAACCATGACAGCTGCTTCTAGGATTTGGTGACTGGAGAAGAGCATCCAGAGAATCTGCATGGAGCATCCAGAGAATCTGCATGTAAATGCTGCCTGTATCAGTGGCTCTGAAATTTTTCTCCTGAAATGAAGTATTATAGCATGAAGGGTTGTGTTACCACTAAACTTGGTTTTCAGTCTTAAAGAGGTCTACTTAAGAAGGTAAGAAGCAGGAGTCTTCTGTAAGTGGCCTTTCTATGAAATACTGATCAACAGGGCAAAATGTCACTCACTTTATAAGCAAGTTTCCATGCTTTAATGTTTTTAAGGAAACATGTTTCCACATGCAGAAGAAAATCAGCCACCAGCTGAAGCTGTTGGTGCTTCAGGGAAGTAAATGAAGCTGTGGTAATTCATACAGAATATATGTTCCAAAACATTTTATTTTGCTAGGTACAACATTGGGCTGCTCAGATAATACCTTTAATAACAAAAGAAGTCAAGGTTTGCTGTCATCATGGCTGGGCTTCGTGAACGAAGATTTGGGAGGTTTGCTGTAAACAGTTCTAAACAGAACTGGTAAGTCATGTAAGCTTAAGAAACCATTATTATGTTTTTTTGTTTACAAACGGACACACTTGGATGCCACAGATTATGTGGACTTTCCCCTAGGTACATGACAAGGTGGTGGGTCAATAGCACAGAGCTCATGACCAGCGCTCCTGCACACTGCAGGACTTCTGCAGATTCCCATCTCCCTTTCCACTTCAGCAAATATCCAGAAGTTATCATCAAAAAGCCACAACCCTCCAAATTCTAATTGTCTCACAGAATTACTTTAAAACAGTAGGAAAGGTGCATAAAGACTGTTCCATTCTTGCAACAGTGCAATGAGTTTTGCAATGTCCCTAAATCAAAACTCTCCAGTTACAGCACTTTGTATGGATAGGAGGCTTGAGGCAACAAGAAAACAGCTCATTGGTAGAAATATGTGGAGATCTATCAGTGCATATTTGCTGTGCGTTTGGGTTAGCTTCCTTGATTCTTTCCTCTTCTGAGCTAAAACAGGGATAATGGAAACTGCAGACTGATACCATCCCTGGTAAAATGACAGTGTCTATAATAAAGAAGAAGATTTCTGAGTACATGAATAAGAATCATCTGTTCCAGGAACTCCTGCCTCAATAATCTGCCGTATAATGGTGCAAATAAGCAAGGGTATGAAGTGGAACCAGAGGGTGTAACTTATCTGGTATTTCAATAAAGGCCAACTAAGTTGTCAGGGTACTTGAAAAAAGTTTCTTTTGCAAACTGAAAGCTGATAAAGGGCAGGAAAATAAAAGCAGGATAGAACAGTTATTTTTCAGAGTGGGAAGAGTCACTATTCAGATCACCTAAGCCTTGGTGCTAATATGAGTTTTGTTCAGTATTCCCCAGTGTGCTACAGAGACCAAAAATGTAGGGTTGCTCAGCTGGGAGAGAAAGGCAGGAGGGTGTGTTTGTATAATTAGAAAGCTGGTAAATAAGTTGAATGCAGTACAATAGTTCACCCAAATTCTGCAATATAAGAACTGAGGGGCACTGAGGGTCCTCCTTGCCTGGACCTCCATTGCCACTGCTGGAGACCATATGAGCTGTAGAGACCTTCAGTTGGGCCCTGCATGGAACCTCTTGAGCTAGGTTCCCCCAATTTATTCTTCAGCAGCCATTTAATCCCATCACAGGAGTTGCTATGTTGTCAGCATTCCATGTAAGAAACAGAGAAGTTGGATGTGGGATTTCAGGAGTGCTCAAAGTGGGGGGAAGCTCCCTAGCCTTGGGCAAGGGGCACTGTGGCTGAAACTTCTTTAACAGCAGCAGGCTGGTGATGGGTGAGTTCAGCTAACCAATTTTTTCACCTGAGGCAGTCTCTACAGATTTGAAGCAAACTGTCTACTCCAAACATCATGTGTTCTTTGAAGAAAAGAGTATGAGAAGAGAAGAATACAATTAGGGAAGACGTAATGAAAATAAATAGTCAGGCTTCATTTGCACAGGAATTCCTAAATGAGTTTTGTATCCTAGTATTGTGACTTTGATTTAGTGGTAGAATTTTGTCCTGGCGACACTGATGTTTTGGGTTTTGCTTGGGCTTTTTTATATCATCAATATGCATTGAAAAGCACCATTTCAGTAAAAATTCTCACCCTTGTGAAAACATATCTGACTTTTTTTTTTTTTTAGCCAATCTTTCTTATCTGAATTCCATTATAGTCTCCTGGTTAGGATTCACCATTTTACATCAGAGTTTTGATTCTAGAAGACTTTGTCTTGCTGCATGTTTTATGGTCTTAGAGAACCCATTGTACAGGAATTATTTATTTCTACAAGACTGTGATTTGGCTGGAGAACTCTACAGTAAGTAGAATGTGATAAGAAAAGGAAAAAAAGTCAATTTTTATTCCATAGATCTTTAAATAGATTAGGCATCAGTAGTTTTAGAGCTAAAGGTGTTTTTTTCCTAGTCTTATTTGTGTAAGGAAGAAAATATTTAGTATACAGAAAACCAGGAAGTTATTTTAACTGAGAAGCAAAAGAGCAATCCTGTGTCTGAAGCACTGGCAGAGGCCTCAGGTGGACTGCATTCAATTGTAGCCTTCACTGTGCTCTGTGTTTGATCAATTCACTTCACGTTGTTTGTCTTCAGGTCTCCAAACAACACAATGGTATTAACAGAATAAATTTGTTACTGATTTCCAAAGCTCGGATACCATTGCAATGAACAGAACAGGGCAGTAAATGCTACTTCTTAAATCTGTAGTTTTTCATCTTCTAAACTGAAGGGAAGTGATAATTGGCTCTTTTACCCAAAGATCCCCTTAGCTGAGTGATTGAAGAACTTTTGTAGTTTTTCTCTGGTTAGTGATTATGACTTTATCTTCTTTAACAAGTCAGAACTCCTCTGAGGATTTAAAACCGTATTTTTACAGTGATAGAAAAAGTGTCCTTATATTTTATGTTCCATTATTTTGCAATGAGATGCTGAGTGCATTAAGCCTGGGAGACATCTCTGAAGGGAGGGAGAATACCCTCCCTGAAGCTCATGGGTGACTCTCAGTGTTGAGTACACTGGCTTGGTAGTTTGAGAAAAGTGGTTTGCTTCTAAGTGGATCACTTTTGACAGAGAAATAATGAGGAAAAAAATTAAATTCCATTTATGGTGATTTCTGTGAAATTGGATTTCAAATAAGTGCTTTGCTGTAAGAGTTGTAAGGGTTACTCTTGGTTCTGGTATTCATACATGTTTTAGAATGAAAGGTATCATTTATGGTTGATATTATATGTCAGACTATGTATGGGATTGCTTACAGCTCCCCCCGTCTCATTGGTTAATTCAAATGTGCATGTAGAATTGTA